GAACCGGTGAGTTTGTTTCATCGCTTTATCAGCTGCAGCCGTTTTAAAAATGAGTCCACAGAGACATTAAAGAAAGTGGTCGTGGCCTGTTTTATGGCACTGTCTCGGTATGAATTCGGTCAGTATGGCGTTTTACCCGGTGTTTTAAAGCGAACCGTATATTATTTGCAGCGCAGTCGGGGCTTCTGTTTTAATAGTATTTTATCGTAAGATTTAGATGTATAAAAAAATCTTTAACAGAAATGTACGACTCCGAGGAAACTGTTTTATATTCCAAACTTAAGAGCTTTTAAAGCAGAGTGGTAATGGAGAAATGTGTTTTCTTTGAGATACGGACAGAATTCTTGAATGTTGTTTAGACGAGCTTCGGCTGTAAAGGTTTAATATGATGACACATGATGTTCAGATTTTAGGCATGTTGATAATGCGGTCCTTTATGAGTAGAGCCTAAGTTATGTCTGTCCGTAGCGATTATGGAGAATGTACTGTAATAAGATATACCTATCTGGGAGGTGGGTAAGTTTGGATTTCGCAGTAAATGTACGTACGATTATTTACTTTCATTTACTCCACCCACAACTGAGAATCAGAATGTCGATTGGGATCCACTTCAGTTTCGGATTAATGCCAACGGAATACATTCTGAATTTTCGTGTTGACGTTCGTTGGAAAACGTCCACCTGGAAGACCGAAAAGGAAATTTCAGGCTAATATAAAGACGGATCTTAGGGAAGCAGGTTGTAGGATCATATTCAGCGTCAGGCATTGGTATTAGCGGTGTTGAACCTCAGGGTTTTTGCCACCGCCGTGTTAGTTGGTTGTGAATGGAGGGAATTTAGAAAGAACTGATAGTAGCTTATATAGTGATACGGATACTCCCTATAAGATTTCTTGGTATGAAACGCATTGATGGTTCTTAATTCACCAGGTCTCAAGTCTAATGCGCACTATGAAGCAGACTTAATTAGTTAAATCACAAAACAAGCCGAACAAGTCTCTTTTCTATATATTTTTTAACAGGAGCCATGACAAAGAAACAAAATTCGTTACATAAGGAACTGAAAGAACCATCCTGGTAAATTACAGAAATATCTGCATGGATATCCGGCCTAGAGTCTTGTTACCTCATGTACACAATCGCGATTGACGTCAGCGTATAAGCTTGATTCAGAAAAAACCCTCACTTATCTCTAGGGAAGTTTGATCGGAACGTGTTGTGTATATCATCCTTATGTGGAAAATGTTCTCATACGTAATAATTCGCATTAAATTCAGATAACCAGATGAGTAACGATATTCTACCGTTTCCTAGTTAGGATCTTTGTTCTGTTATGACCTTCGGTTCAATTTGAGGAACAAATGAGACCTTAGGGTCACTTACGGGATGTTTCACTGGAATAGGGTAAACCAGGGTGATTTGGGTCAGATGTTGTTTCGGTTAAGTTTTAGAATTCGCTTTCGCATTGTAGTAGGTGCTATTATCCAGTGGTGCAGATTTGTAAATAACAAGAGACAACATCTGTGCGCAAAGAAAATTTTTGTGTATGAGCTGTATTCTACGAAGTGTGTAAATATCAGTTGAAGTAATTTGAATGCGTAATTAGGTTGTTACAGGTTTTGTTTTCAGACCCTTGTAATTTTGGTTATGTTCTCAGAGTAAGAGACCCACAGTCGAGCAAAACAACTGGTAACATTTTTGTTAATGACTGGTAAAATTATAATGTGCACTTAGGTAGGGTACAGGAACCTTTGACTCTGAATCGGATGTGGCGATCTCTTTCCGATGGCAACGGAAATATACGTAGTGACTAAAGCTAATCTCATGTTGCGGGAATAAATACGGATGTGTGGTTTCCTACATCTAGAGCGCAAGAACAACGATCATAGCAGTTCATTACTCATTCAATCAGATAACTTATAGAAAAAAGAGCGATGATCTCCAAAATAAAAACACGTAATTATTCTTCTCTTTCTCAAGCGTCTTCAGTATTGTTGTGGCAGACTGAGCTCAAACATTTTTTAAAATCATAAACATAAATTTAAATTGAAAACTGGTGTGTTTCCATGAAAGGAACTCCGTCAGACTCACTCCGGCATCCATAAAATTACAGTCTAATCCATTGTCAGACTCAGTTTACAGTTTGAAGATTCAAATATAAAGTAGACCTGTTAAGGTATAATGTTACAATTAGTACATTTCAAGGTGTTAAATATCTGTAATGTGTGGAATTTTGGATATGTATTTGCAGAACTTCAACACGAAGTTAATGAATCGCTGCTTTGAAGCTGGTACAGTGCACTGTGCAGCAAATCACATTTATCCCAAACCAAACCAAAACAAATACAAGACCGTGCAAGATAACAATTTCAGCACCGATGTGCTGTTCCGCCCACAGAGAGTCCAACTGAAACTGCATGTTGGTGAGTGTGTGCCATCTAGGTACTGCCATTGTTGTAGAGGGGAGTGGTTATGTTCTTCCTGCAATTTCACTACTCATCTTTATCTTTTCTTTCCATCAATGAATACCTGATATGAGATTTGATAAACTTTAGTAACTGACTTTTGGGGTCAAAATTGACGATGGTAACAGTTATTATAAAGTTTGTACTTCAAAATTGATTTTTGTTGTCTGTACATAATGATACCAGCTAACGTGCTATTTGTCGTAAGACTTTTAATACTACTACTACTACTTCTTTTTTTTTGGGGGGGGGGAAAGATGTTAAATTCCTACATTGCATAATAAATAATCACAGACATTTCCGTAAGTACTTTTTTTCTTATGACCCATTTCAGTTTGGGAAACTTAAAGATGCCACTCATTGTCAGATTTGATGAATGTGATGGATGGGGCACTTGTGGAATGTTATGGGCAGTGCTGATTGCAACAAAATTGTCATGACCTGCAGGAGACATTTTCTCTTAGCTCCTTTGATTTTAATTAAAAGTATCCAACATTTACTGTAGGAGATGCAACTTCTACTGTAAGTTCACAAGTTGTCATTTTTCTGTTACCACAGAAAGTGAATAATTAATTCACCAGTGTCCAATGTTGATAGATGACTAAAGTATTTTATCATTTTTGTCTATCTTTAATGCATGAAAATCAATAAAAAATTATGAGTGGATGAATCTCATCCCCAAGTGTATTTTTTAGCATTCCATGTGTTTCTTTGGCTCTTATCCCAATTTGTATACAAAATTTGAAGAACAACTAATACTTCTTCACATGTACCATTTTACATGACAAAAGAATAAAATACTTCTACACAAAATTGTTTCTCCAGGATTGAGACTGTGTGATCTTACCATCAGCAAGCATTGCTGGCTGTACTCCTTGCTTAATATTTGTATTACATACCTTATTTAAGTAAGATTTGAGGTTTTCACAGCGGTGAGTATGAAGATTTCTGTCTTCTGGGTTGTTGTGCTGTGTAGTCTGATCGATGTTTACCAACGTTTCAGAGGTCATACTGCCTCCGTCATCAGGGCGATGAGTATGAAGATTTCTGTCTTCTGGGTTGTTGTGCTGTGTAGTCTGATCGATGTTTACCAACGTTTCAGAGGTCATACTGCCTCCGTCATCAGGGCGATGAGTATGAAGATTTCTGTCTTCTGGGTTGTTGTGCTGTGTAGTCTGATCGATGTTTACCAACGTTTCAGAGGTCATACTGCCTCCGTCATCAGGGCGATGAGTATGAAGATTTCTGTCTTCTGGGTTGTTATGCTGTGTAGTCTGGTCGATGTTTACCAACGTTTCAGAGGTCATACTGCCTCCGTCATCAGGGCGATGAGTATGAAGATTTCTGTCTTCTGGGTTGTTATGCTGTGTAGTCTGGTCGATGTTAACCAACGTTTCAGAGGTCATACTGCCTCCGTCATCAGAGTGATGAATACCTTATTTAAGCTACAGTAAAATCAGTTTTTGATGATGATGATGTTTACAACAGAACTTCTTGTATTTTACAGGAGAGGAATATCCATTGAAATTGAGATACAGGCACACTCAGGACTATCCAGTGGATTTGTACTACTTGATGGATCTGTCTGCATCCATGGAAGATGACAAAGATAGTCTTTCTAAACTTGGCAGTAAACTAGCAGCAGAAATGCAAGCCCTTACAAGAGACTTTAGACTTGGCTTTGGCAGCTTTGTTGACAAGGTGGAAATGCCGTATGTTAGCACAGTGCCTGAAAAGTGAGTATTGAAGTCCATGGCATCACTGAAATTGTATATATTGTTATGCTGGAATGCTCAGGCCAGTGGTTTTCAGAATCGTCTTGCCGTGGACTTAATTATGAAGGAGCACAGTTCTGTGAACCTCGTTATAACAGATCAAGTATTTTGATTAAAGTGACTGTTGTTAGGATTTGAGGTTTTCATGGCAGTGAGTCTGAAGATGGCTGTCTTCTGGGTTGTTGCGCCGTGTAGTCTGGTAGAAGTTAAGTGATGTTTCAGAGGTCCTTGCTGCTTCCAACATCACCCTGATGATGGAGGCAGCAAGGAACTCCAAAACACCACTTAACTTCTACCAGACTACACGGCGCAACAACCCAGAAGACAGCCGTCTAAAGTAACAGTGTTTATATTTTACGCATTGAACCATGTCTGGTCATAAATAGAAATGTTTAATTTCCTGCATCATTAATACCAGTACGGTGGCTGCCTGAACTTTTGAGGTTGAAAAAACAATAGCACCACAATTTAGGGTTCTAAAATTTGTTGTGGTAAATTCTTGGTTCTGATGCTAACAGGCCTGTTTATTAAATTTCTTCACTTACATTATGTTTTATTATGTTAGATGTGGCCGAGGACTGCCCTATAATCATAAAGAATTAAATGAAGAGTTCCTTCCAGGCCACAACAGCCTGTGATGTTGTTTTAGGTTGTGATGCCTTGTGGACTTGCAGGAGGTAGATAACCAGTGTTTCTGATGGTCTGCATCCTCAGGGTTGAAGATGGAGGCAGTATGTTTCTTTGAAACATTGGTGTCTACCTGGAGTCCTTGTAGAATTATGTTGCACAACAGACTTCTGAATCACAGCCATCACACAAAGTATAGTTTCTTGACTAGCATAAGAAATATGGTATATACATCTTATACTGTTATCAGATTGGAGCATCCCTGTGATTTGAAAAGTGGTCAACCATGTGCTGCACCATATGGATTCAAAAACCATTTGAAACTTGATACGAATACCAGTCTCTTCTCGGTAAGAAAATGTTGGCTAATGTAACACAATTTCATCTTAGACTTGGTTTTTTTCAGCCGTTGTTGCATGATTAAAACAATGTAAGATTTGAGGTTTTCACAGCGGTGAGTATGAAGATTTTTGTCTTCTGGGTTGTTGCACTGTGTAGACTGGTCGATGTTAACCAACGTTTCAGAGGTCATACTGCCTCCATTATCAGGGCGATGAATGTCAACAATTTTGATATTCACTTTTTATGTAATGTAAGCTTCTTTAAAACACAACAAACTGAATACATGTTAAAGAGTAGTGAAATTATCTTCTGTTTTGTTCCAATAGATGTACTTCATTAATATTAGTGGCTCATTTACTTTAATCATTAAAGTATTATGAATGGGTTTGTTTTTGTGTATGGAAGAGTATGCTATGAAAAGTGGATGGTACTGTTCCATTACTTACACTGGCTGGTAAAGTGTAAACTTTTTTTGTTTGTGTGAAAGCATAAAAACTATAAATAATTATTGTCTTCTTAACCTAATCTTGGTTTCTGTTCTTGTTCTGTAGATGAAAGTAAATGAAGCTAAAGTCTCTGGAAATCTTGACTATCCTGAGGGAGGGTTTGATGCAGTAATGCAGGCCATAGTATGCCAGAAACAGATTGGCTGGCGACAAAAGGCTCGGCATCTGCTTGTATTCTCAAGCGATTCTGACTTCCATTTTGCTGGTGATGGCAGGGTATGGTACTCATTCCGTGAATTTATAATTCAACTGTAGAAGATTGTGGATGATAGAAATATGTATTCGAAGCACATAAAATGCATACATACCCTTAAAATTACCCCCAAATGTCTTGGACCTTTATTGAAGATGTTTTATTATATTAGCCTGTTAGTCCCAGAAATGTGATTGGAAACGGGATGTGCATGGCACACTTTTTCAAAATATTTAAGTCAACATAAACGAATTTTTTCACATCAAATTCAGTTTGAAGAGAAACATTTTGTAATGAAAGAACCAGACTTCATGTGGGTTGTGTAATTGATGTGTAGACCACCACTAAAGTAAAATAATGTTTTATATTTATCATATTCATTTCTCTAAAGTGAGATGTAAGAAATTATTTATGCTACACAGATGATTCTTATATCAGTCATTTCCAAACTTCAACAGAGTAGACAGTTTTGAACACAGGACCTTAGAAATTTAGGTATTTGGCTGTAAAGAAGTAAAGGTATTAAAATGATTTAGTTATTTTTGAAGTTTTAACATGCTAATAATGCTCATATTGAAACAAGACTTGTGCTATAGGATACAAAAGACAGTAAAGTTCATTTTTGTTACTTGCAGCACTAAAAAGCATGTTATACCCAAAAATGCAGAATGAATGCAACATACAGTATTAGGTACACTACAACAGTCAGTTCTTGGATAACATTTAAATAGACCTACAATCAGTTGGTGCTCTATATTTCCAGTGAACATTATATTATATGTAGATTATATTCTTTTCATCTCATTGATATTTCTACAGGCATTACAATAGTAGTAATATAATTTGCTTTTGGATATCGTGTTATAAAATTTTTTCATCTAAAACATGAGACTTGATATAGTTTGCTCCAACTACAATAAATCTGAGTCAAGCATGTAATTGTATGTAACACAGAACTTGAAAACATCCGTTCTAAAGTTTTGTATTATTTTCACAGTTGGCTGGTCTTGTTGAACCCAATGATATGCAGTGTTATGTGACTGATGATGGGAATTATACACATTCTTTAGTGTTTGATTATCCATCCATTTCACAGGTTAGTGAATATGTCTTTTTTAATCTCTAAAAATTGAAAGAAAATAGTATTTTCTTGATTTTGGTGAATAAAATTTAATTTTTATTTCATGAGAAAGCTCACAATACAGCAGAAACATCTGTGTATGGCAAATACAGTAGTTACTAAATAAAAGTGTATTGGCAGTGTTCATGACAGGAAGTTCTGGAAACAGCTCATGATGCGCTTGTTTTTGTCAAATAGCTTTTGTTCATATTGTAGGTTAGCAGGCACTGTAATTGAATAATTATTGGTATACAATTTAGTGATAAATTTCTGTGCACAAACCTCATTATACAAAATCTGCCAGATATAACCTTAAAGTTTTGCTTTGTAGATATGCTTGTAATTTTAATACATGAGAAAATGGTTTATGTTAAATGTATGTGTAGGTATATGACATATATGTCCATATGAAGTGTTACATGCTTAAGTCTAACAATCCATTAGCCTTCACTATCAAATGGAAAGACGGAATTTTTTGCTGCCACCATGTTTTCTGTATTGTACAACAATTTTACTTAATCAAAAATTGCATGTTTTTTCAAAGGTCTATTACTGCTACAAATTTTAGGACCATAAATTAAATGGTGCTAGTGGTCTTTAACCTCAAACGTTTTTACAACCACCATATTGGTATTATTAATGATGACAAGAAATTAAAAAGTGAATTGGCCTCTATAAAAATGATGTTTTTAACAGGTTTTATGAGATCTGTCATTGGTTCAAAAATATTAAATTGAAAACAAAGATGAAGAGACATGATTTTTTCAAAGTCTATGGTTCCTTATTGTACCAAAACTAAGCTGATAAATTATAGTAATACTTTGAATTGTTCTTTTTCGTCTTGCAGATCAACCAAGTGGCAAGACAGAATAATATCAACATAATATTTGCAATAACAGAGAGTATATCAAAAATATACAAACATTTGGTAGGGAGCATTGAAGGATCCTCATATGGTATCCTTTCAGGTGATTCATCCAATGTCGTTAAGCTTGTTCGAGATGAGTATCAGGTGTGTCCAATTAATTTATGATGAATTTTGTTTTGTGTATTATTGGTTAATAGAGGGAAAGGTATCTGAATATAATAGGATTTCCATTCACTGTTCTTCCATGTAGTATTCAAATCACTGCCCGTAAAAGAAACATTAAATGATTATGTTATTGTGTTTGGAATCTGTATTTTATATAGCATGCCCCACTGTACTGTTTCTTTTGTAGTTTTTTTGGACTTTTTTTTTGATAAGTAAAGCATCTTTCCAGTGTACTTTATCACAACTGATGTTTAAGTTTGACTTTCTAAGGACATGTTGCCTTGCATACTTAACTTAACCCTATATTATTTTTAACTGGTTTTTGATACCAACATCAATCATTCATGTGATGTGAATAGTCCTTGAAGAATAAATGTTTTTAAGGGAAAGTACTCTTATAGCATTCAAGTAATGAGTATGATAAGCATAACTTATGTTAACCCTATTGTCATTTTTAATTAATATGTTATGTCAGAATAATGCAGTGCAATATTTTGATTTTTAATAGACACATTGTGTGTTCACAGAAAATTGTTGACAGCATAGGTCTGATTTCTACTGGTAATAAACAATTTGTTGATGTTCATTTCAATTCTTCATGTATCAGTGGTGATTGGAAAGAGACAAGTACATGTGATGGACTTCGCCCAGGGAGTGAAGTTGAATTTATAGCAACTATAAAGGTCAGCACCATGTTTATTTTCTATTAGCATTCAGTAAATCTGAGATTTTCCCAACAGTGAAAATGTGGGTTATGGTCATTTATGGTAATTAATTTGTTGTTCAGGTGCTGCAGTGTCCAGAAAACAAGAACAGTGTGACATTTAATATAAAGCCTAGAGCACTAGAAGACAGCATTACAGTGGAATTGGAAATTGATTGTGACTGTGCCTGTGAGCAGCCTGGAAGTGAGGTAAAGCCTTGTTAATACAAAATTCAAATACAACAATTTCTCATCAGCTGTGGCTTTACCATTTTCAGGTATCTGTATTTTTACATTTGTATCTTTCTAGTTTTGCCAGTCATGGTATTAGGTTTGATGTATTCATGACATATAATATGTGTACTCATGGAAGAAATCTGTTTCTTTCTTCACCAAGCAATCCACATTTGCTCAGGGAAGGGCAATAATGACGTACTAATTTGCCGTATGGCTTGGTCTTGGCAACTGTAATGTTTTAGGAATATAAACAGTGTGATAATTGCAGTTCTCATCTTTTGGGTAATGGCACTATGTTGTGACAGACCAGTTTGTTGATGTTTCTGAAGCATGAGGGGACTTTACCAGCAAAATGTATTTCCTGGAATCAGTGACTAAATCCTTTTACAGAGATGCAGGAAAAAGAAATTCATTCCATTACACATGTTACCCTTTAGGATAAAATAATACCCATTAGATTCTTGTTTTAAATTTCAGATGCCCATTGGTTAAAACATTTCCAAAATCCATGTATCACAACATCAGAATTACTCCTGAAGAGGTCCACCTTTGTAATTGTTGACTATAATTGGTCAACAAATACCTCAGATTCACCATTCACATTCACAACATCAGTATTAACTTGAGCCATGATACATTGCTACAGATACCAGCAGCCAGTCTCTTCACTCTTAAAATATAGACTGCAAATACCTCCAGAATGTCAGAAAAGCGTCTGCTACACAGTATGTCATCACAGAAACATTTAACATCTACTTAACTACTTTATCCTTTCTTTCTCGTTTAAGTGCTCTAATCTTAATACCCAGGATATTGAGGTTGCTCAGATATTTCTTCCTTAAAATCATGAACTTTTAAGGTTATGTATGACTGCTCCTCTAAAAGTCAAATTAAACAAAAATACTGTATAAACTGCATGGGTTATATAGCACAAAATAAGATGAGAAGATAATCATGAATAGTAAGGAGATAAAGATTTGGAAACTGCCAGTCGTGACTTATTTAAATACCTATTTCCAGGAGAGCCTGATGAAAACCATGGTGAATTTAAAAGGATTTCCTCCCAGTGTAAAGTGTTACCTGATACATAAACTTACTTGGCCACTTGAGGTTGGCATTAAAGGGGAAAGGCTTTAAGAGACCTGTTTTTTGTAAATATTTTTCATCTTTCAGAGCGACTGAAGCATTTTCTATTGTTTTAGGGTTATGAGAGGAATTCTAGAAGTTGCTCCTGGCATGGCAATTTTCAGTGTGGAGTATGTAATTGTGATGGTGACTGGTATGGTGACCAGTGTCAGTGTGAGAGGAATTCTGTGACCCCCGTGCATTTGAATGAAAATGCATGTCGCATGAACAATAACTCCGAATTATGCTCAGGATTTGGTGTGTGTGAATGTGGCGTGTGTACATGTAATGTACGCCCCAATGCAAATGAGGTAAGCTTGTGACTTATCTTACTCAGTGAGGCCATATATGTACCATTACAAAAGCCAGTACCTGACATTTTTACACTTTCATTCAATTAAGTGTCATTTCATTTATTACATGGCTGTAGAATGCAGTAAACAACTGAGAAGACATTTTGAGATTAGAAGTTAAATGTTCAACATTGCTGCTGCCAAAGCTAATTATTGGGCATGAACTTTAGTCAGTTCCATCCAGTTAAAGTTTTTACATCACATCCATTTCCATTTTTTCTTCCCATCTTTTTTCAGTATTCCAAATTTTAACTTTCCCCACCAAAATACTGTTTACATTTCCTTTTTCTTCCTTTTACTGAAATGTTGTCAGATACTTAGAATGCATTTAGAAACTGTATTCTGAACAGAAGTACAGATCTCAAACCTCATTTTTAATTTGAGTGCACCAAACATAGGTAATCACCATATTAATTGTGTTGTTCCAGCGTTACTATGGGAAGTTCTGTGAATGTGACAACTTCACGTGCAGACGACATGGTGGATTACCATGTTCAGGACCAGACCATGGAATATGTGAGTGTGGAACATGTGTGTGTCAGTGGGGATGGTCGGGTGAAGCCTGTGAGTGCCCAGACAGTAAAGAGAATTGTTATCCATCTGATTCTTCTGAAGAGTGCATGGGCAGAGGATCATGCAAATGTGGGATATGCAAGTGTAAAGAAAACTACTCAGGAAAATACTGTGATGAGTGTCCGGTGAGTTCATCAGCTGTTATAACTCTTTCAACAAGAATCTTCCATGTTCAAGCTATGTGCGCTGTTAACAGTGTTAGATTGAGTATGTATTTGGGCTGCCCATACAGTTAACTTTTAATGCTTACTTTAGAGTGTTGTAGTTTCTAGTTTCCCTTTCTCAGCTGTAGAGGTTAGATAGTGCCAAATGGGAATTCGACTGTGAATGAATTGGAAAAGCTGTGATCATAATCTACCATTCCAGAATTTTTTTGGATGGACTGAAGACCACAAAAACCTTCAGGATAGCAGCCTCTGGGCTGATAGTCAAGCCCAAGATTTCCAAATATGCAGCAGGATTAGTAACTTTTCCATCATGATAATCAGTCATATGCCATCTATTATACTGGGAAAGAATGTTGTTTGCATTGCTGCCTGTCTGTTTAAATATTAATGGTGAACAAAACAATACTAATATGGACACTTTATTTCTAGAATGATTTAATGCAGATGATTTTTCTGTTGAGTTATGCTGAAAGGATTACAGTAACTCTTTTTTTACCCTCTTACAACCAAGTCTACTCATTATGTAAGAATTTTCTGACTGTTTTGTAAAAATTGAATATTTGTGAACTTCTATGCTCAAGATGTGAAGCAAAAAATTTTGAACATAACATGTTTTGCTTAGACCTATTATTGTATATCGTAACATGTACATGAATTACATGTGAAAGAGAACCAGCCTTTAAGACTGGCCAGATTAGATCATGACAGGCCAGATAGAAACTGCGTTGCAGGATCAGTTACTCTACTGGCAGGTGAGAGGACAAAGTAATTTCTTGTTCTTTATTTGTTTAGTATTTGGAAAAATAGTTTCATTTCTTGTTCTATCCCTGTGCTCGGAAAATGTAGTGACACTCATGTTTCTTTATTGATGATAATGACACTGTCCCAGTAAAGACTTTTCTGTACAACTAGTGTCATTGTTATTGCTATTTGTTGACAGTCATGTCCAGGACAGAGGTGTGAAAAATATGAAAGTCTAGTGGCATGTAAAGTATTTGGGACAGGACCTCTCAGTAAGGAAGAATGTGACATGGATATGTCTATTACAACAGTGGAGGTGGATTACATAGGTTTGTACCCTGTCTTGTTCTTTCCACTGCTTTGATGCAAGTTAGTGAAGATGGTAAATACGTTAAGGAAAATATAAATTGCATATTGAATGAGGATAAGAAATGACTGAAAGATATCCATCCAGGAAGAATGTGGAGAAAATTACATAATGAGGTTCTTCACAATTTATGTTTTTATTAAATATTGTTGCAGTGATTAATGAGATGGATGCCACCAGGTCCATTTTCAGGTTATTTCTTATCAAAGTTTTACTTGTCAGACTAAGTTTAACATTGGGTTGTAATGTGATTTCTCAGATGTTGATGAGTTGATAAACAGTTAAGATATTAATGGAAAACTGAACAGGTAACCTGGAGTTCAAGGATGACTGTCTTCTGGGTTGTAGCTCCATGTAGTTTGGTAGAAGTTTACTAACATTGCAGAGGTCTTTGTTACCTCCATTCCTTGATGATGGAGGCAGCATGGACCTCTGAAACATTGGTAAACTTCTACCAGACTACATGGAGCTACAACCCAGAAGACAGTCATCTTTGTACTCACTGCTATGAGAACCTCAAATCTTACTAACTTGGAGTTGTCTAACTTTCCTGTGATTTTTTTGTCCCTTCCCCCACATAATTGTTATTAGACTGTGTAATTTAGTATTGTGTTTTTTGATTGAGCAGATCCAGAGGAAGTGAAAAACAACACACAGTTACGAGTATGCAGCTTTCCGGATGATCAGGGTTGCACATTTCTCTTCCGCTACTTGATTGATAACAGTACAGTGGAGGTTCAGCGTACCAAGCAGTGTGGCAGTGATGTTAATGTCCTCGGTAAGTATAACGAAACTTTAATTTTGTCTTCTTTTACTTTAACACATCCTGGAGTAGGCAGTGTATTGCCTATTGGCTGCACTGATAAATCCAGCTTTGCCTTGAACATCTTATGCTTTTTAATCATCTGGATCTATATTTTAATATAGTATCCTGTTGTCAACTATGTGCTCTGTATGTTCCATCCATTTTTGTCGGTAATCTTTTTCAATTTTGGAGACTATTTGTAATTTGTTTCTTATTCCTGCATTTTAAATTCTAACTTTGTACAGCCTTTTAATTACGAAAGTATTTAATCTCAACAGCCTAGTGATGCTACTTTTTAATGATCCAGTTTTCATTGCCATATAAAATAGTAAGGGTGGCTGTGACTGTAAAGTTCAAAAATCTGTTAATACATTGGCTTTGAGATACATGACTCAGACTTGTGTCATATCAGAATATGCACTTTTAAGGTTAACTGAACTGACTTCATATGTATGACATTCTAAAGTGGTGAAAGTGTGGACTGCAGTCTTGCCTGATGTGTTGTCTTGTGTGTGGTTACCAGTAACACTACATGGCATCACAATCCTGATTTTATTTGTAATTGAAATACATATTTCTATAGTGTGTTGAAAAATGCCACTCTGTATTTATTAGAACTTTAATTTTGTTTCGTTCACAGCACTTGTACTGGGAGTGATTGGTGGCATTGTATTTATTGGCCTGCTACTGCTCCTAGTTTGGAAGATTGTTACTTCAATTCATGATCACAGAGAATATGTGAAGTTTGAGAAGGAACGTTCCATGTCTAAATGGGACAGGGTACAGTATATAATTACTGTTATTAAGCTTTTGTGTCCTGTAGTCTTGGGTCTCTGTTGTCTCAGATTTGTCTTTGCTTTGTTGCTTATGCTACTGAGCTGTTTAAAACATGGGGCCATTCAAGTACTGGGCTCAGGACTGTTAGGATTGGTTAAGTTGCTTATGGGTATAATTTCACCAAAATTGTTTTGACTTTCAACAGTGTTGTTTATGTTGAAGTGTATTGATAATTTCCAAAACGTTATCATATAGTGGTCAAGAGGATAAGTACTTGTTGACTTGTTCTGGCCTCAGTCATACAAAAGTATCTTTAAAGGCATACTTGTTCTTGGTTTTTTAATCCATGTGGCTTATAAGCTTTTAATGGTCTGGGAAATTTGTTTGCATTCTGTGAACATGTTAAATCCAGTTGATTTTATATTTCAAAGGCTTGTGCAAAATAGGTTAATTTTAGTAATTTTATCTGCTATAACGAAATTAATCTTTTTTAGACAAAATAATGTAAATAACTAAGATTAGAACAAAGGTTTTTTAACTATGTATTGTTATGGTTCTTAACATTTTTGTTCTTTGTTTGCTCTAGGGAGACAACCCACTGTACAAGCAAGCAACTTCAACATTCAACAATCCAATGTTTGGTGGAGAGTGACCACTTATACTGAGTAGGCAAACATAGGTACTCCTGCTTCTTATTCTTTATTTTCAGCATAGCATGTATTGTGTACTTATTTACAACATTAAATAAATTAATAAATCTTTGTACATATTACACATACCTGCACATAGAAGTTATCCTAGTGTTTGGTCTGTAATTGAAAATAAAACTTAATTTGTGCTTTAATTTCCTGTATGTGTTAGGTCATTGTTTTAATAACTTTTAGTATCATATTTACGTTCTGTATTAAAACCAACATAAGGATAAGAAGGGAAGTTGCAACTTAGGTCTCTTTTGAGGAAGAATGAGTTATTTATTTAAAATCCTTCCTCTTGAAATACCTGTTGTGTATTTACTCAAGGGAGATTCTACTTATTTCCCACATAATAAAAGCATCGTTTGTATCTGGATAACATGAACAAATTTAAATACATCATACCCTGTTTTCTGATGCTCACTGTGTGTCTAGGTTCAAAAAGTACTTGTTCACTGGGTTGAACATAGATAATTATAAATGTCATTATAAAAGTAATATAATATAAAATTCTAATGAATAAACTGGATCCCATTTATTACAGTGTATATTATTACTTATTGGTAAGAATAAATACATTAGCATGTGATATGTTCTGCCACTGTAGAAGCATAATATGGTCCCTCTTTTGAGATTTTTATGACAACTGAGTGGCCCCATCTGAGGAATATTTTAACACACTGTACCTTGTATTAATTTAATTATCTTATTTTTGCTTTTAAGCACACTGGAAACTGAAGGTGGTCTGCATCAGGTCATAATCTCACCATGAAGATACAAATTCATGCTAGGTCATCATTTTTCATACAGAGTGCAGAAGTCAAGAGGAATGTGATGGACACTATGCATTAAAGGTATAAGAAGTTAAATTTGTAATTGCGTACATAATAAAAATCATAGTTTGTTAGGAAAAGTTTTTGCTCATCTTATATTCCCGAATATTTTAAATTAATTAGGTATATAAAATCCCATAGTCCAAGTTTCCTCTCATTTTTTCCAGATAAACTTATGTAACCTTAAATTTATTTAATGCCATATCATCTTTTTTGCTGATACAACATTATTAAATAACTTATGAATTTATGATACGTGAATTGGGAAGATATACGTAAACCTTCAGTATAATCTTTTACAATATTTCTGTAAAATTGTTCATTATACCCAAAAGCCAAATTAATATAATTATGTAACATTTTTATCAATATTTTACATATTATTACTTGAGTAGCACTGAAAATGAATTCAGTCTCTTTGTTACATAAACACTAGACATACTGAAGATGAGGGAGTATCGGAACATGTGCCCCATGCTCATACATTTTGCCTACTTAACGCTAAACGCAATGTTGCATTCTTGAGTTCACCTCAGGTATAGAATAATTAACATTTTCAGTTTAACATTTTCTTCTAGTACATAAGTGCTTTATGCTTGTATCTCTTGAAAAGTGATTTTAGTTTGGGCCTTTAGCTGTCACTTTATGAAGAATGAAAAGATGTGTAAAATCATAACTATACTATAAAATAAACAATCCTATAGGGCTAAAATTTAAAATAGTGCCTGTAATGACAGTGACAGAAAGGCAGGGTAATAGAACTCCATAGATTCTTGGTCTCTAAATTACATGTAGCTTCATGCCCAAAACACCTTTATCCCCTGATGTCCAATGGCTTCTTGGGTTTACCTTATCAATTATACTACTTCTATAAAATACTTAAGCACAAAATTAAGTGTAAAGAACAATGATGAAAACTGTTACTGTTAAATCTCAAATTGAGGCTCATCATCAAATATAATTAAGTTAAGTTCACAATTGGGAATCTTCTCCATAGATATATTAACTATTTAGTTAGTTCTGCTGTATTATATGCAGCAGTGATTTTTGGTGGTTAATGCTTCTCTGAAACATTGGTAACCACCTACAAGGCTATACAGCATCGAAACCAAGGAGCCCAAAATTCATGCCATCTTCTTTGAGAACCTCAGATCTCAGTGGTTTAGGTTAATGAAATGATAGTTGGGGGTTTATGTTGCAGAACCTTACAAGTGTTAAATAAAGTATTCTAGCAGTGATGTTATAGACTGTGACACTATGTTAACTCTTTTAGAAACCAATGTTTTGGAGAAAAATTTGATCTCCATCTCTAAAATCATAACTGAGAACAACATTGTTATCTACAGCCCCATGACAGCCTCAAATCTCACAACTCTTCTAGCATTTACACATTGCTCTGATTTGTGGTTGGACTGATAGGTTATGCTTTCGTTATGAACTGATCACTTATGTTATGTATACTATAACAGTGGTCAAATATTCAGCACTCTATCTTTGTATTCTGGTGGTCCCAGGTTTATTTTCAGCCTAGAGACTTGGTTATCCTCACTGAGGATTTTGTGGTTTTCCATGGCCACTTCTTTCCATGTCCTTTCCAATTCATTATTTAATAATCTTGTCATTCAGTGCTATATAGTGGGAACTGCTGGTACCATCATTAAGTAAACCACAAATAAGTGAGTGACACAGAATATATGAGACTTGAAGCGTTCATGGCGACTGAATGCAATGAAATATTCTCAGGCACAAGCTGTGTTAGTTGTGGAAAAAAGTCTGATGTTTCAGAGATGATCTGTGCCTCGATCATTCAAGGAATGATGTCACATCAACTGACATGGCTTGTTGCCAGAGAATATTTTATCGAGGGCAGAGAATATGATGATAAAAACCAGAGTAACTGATAGAAGTGAAAAATCTTCCTTTAGCATGTTTGTGTGTATAAATATTCCACTTGGTCTGTACCAGGAATCAAGTACGCATTCAGTGGTATTTATATTCTGCTCTTCTTTCTTTAGTTGTTGATATGAGAAGTATATTCATTATTAGCTCTACAAAGGACTCCAAACAGGACTTTCAGTCTGTGTGTTAGGGTGTCTTCTCTGTACACAAGTGCTGTCATATTCATGGCTTATATGTTGGCATGAATGGTAGATGGGAGAAGATGTTGTGTCTGGAACAGAAATAGGTGCTTTTGGTTACTGTGTGTGTTATATCACATGAGCCTGCAGTGTGGCGATCTGTGGCAGCAGCTCAGGGCCTCATGCAATTTAAATTTTTATTTCTGGTTTTAGTATTTTGTTTTGAAGATAATGAAGAATTTATATCTAAATTCTCCTACATGATAAAAGACAGCTTGCAGTTAGATGTATATTTTAAATGTAGAGTTAATTGAAACATTATTTGTTTCAGAGGTACACACACTGGCGAAACTCGTGAAAGTTATTACTAAAATATATCTGTTAATATTTGTCTTCCCAATTTATCAAATCTTGTTTTATGGCATATTTTTATATAGGTAAAAGTAATATTTCGATTTTATAATTTTTTTACAAGATTATGCTGCTATAACAATGCTGCTTCTGATGTGAAATGAATCCTTCCCATGTATGTGTATGGTAATAGTAATAGTTGCCATTGTCCATACCTTCTAAGGAATTTCATGCCCACAGGGAAGTCATAAGTGTTGGGTAAGTCATCTGTTTCTTTATTAGATACCAGCTTCATCTGTTCTCTCCAGGCAATCAGGCCACGGTCCTTTGGTGTACCTAAATACAGAAGCACATTTATACTTCCCTGTTCGAGGGCCAGAGTACTAGAATTAGTGAAGCAGTAAACTACTTCATAGAGGATTACATGAACATGTGAAGTGGAGGCCATATCTGCCCACAGCACTGTTTTTTCTGTCCTTAAGTTAAATATTTAACTAACATATCGTGTATTACAATGATATGAAGAGTTATGTATCTGGTTTGTGGACTGGAAATTGTTTTACTTTTTAAGAATTTATTTAGGTATTCTAAGAAGGCAGCTGCTGTGATTGGTTAGTAGAATTTTCTTATGTCTTGTGCACACACACACACACATACCCAGTGAAATGGACAGGGAAGCATGAAGTGAACATGTTTAATTTTGAAACCAATCTAAAAAAAATCTTGACTTAGTCACAGCTGAAAATGAAAGCAGTGGCATACCTGGTATGATATGATCGAAGACACAACCTATGATTCCTCCTATTAGTATGCTTGTACTAAGTAGGACTGTGATGGTGTTATCTACTATGTCATTGCCAGTCTGAATTACATTTGGGTGTGCTTTCACCCACCTGGTCAACACCTGAAAGGAAATATAGGGAAACATGCTTTGTAATTTGGAATGTGCTTTGTACTTCTGTTCTGATTATAATTTTTATTTTGCAGGGTAGGGTTCCATAATAAAATTAGGTCTCCTAGACATTTTTAAAATCTATTTGCTCACAATTTAGCAATCTTTTCAAATATTATATGTAGTGGAGATTATTAAAATACAGTTCTTGCTAAGATAAGGCAACATCTTCCTTAAACAAAGTTTAACTGAATAATATACATACACATATGCTGTGTACTTAGTTCCTCTGCATGAGTCACTTGAGGAAAGTCACAGTGCACAACTGGTGTGATATTGCTAACAGTAATTTGATTTGTTTACTGTTATTTGTTCTATATAGTATGAGATAGATAGGGCCCAATTCTCAGAAACCCCACTGTTTTTCCACCATTCCATGAATCAGGAAAAGTTGAGAATCATTGTCATAGTGCACAATGAAATCTGTTAATGTTTACAGTAAACTTACCATTGAGAAGAAGACTGAGAAACCAACAATATAGAGATTCCTTGCTGAGTTTAAGTTCACATACTGCAGAGCTGATAAGCCTGTAACAGTCATATATATATATGTGTAAGATGGGATATCTCTAAAAGTAAAAATGATTCTTGTTTATGTGCTTGCAAAATTTTGGATTTTCTAAAGGTGCACAATGGACACAATAACATTTTTGTTTAATTATAAATTATAAATTGATGTGTTATAAGAACAAAATTACACAATGACTACACAAGATATAATAAACAAACTATGTAAAAACAAGTAACAATGCTGATAATCCCTCGCCCAAACTATATTTTATAATGCTTAGGTGTAATTTGTCATTCATGTTGTGTACATTTGTCCATCAGCAAGAAATTTCCAGAATGCTGTCAAATTATTCGGATCAGTCATAGCAATGATAACTTAAACAGGATCCCATTAAATATCAATACTGGCGACAAACACAATTTTTCAAAAAATAAACTTGTCTTTTCCCAGTACTTCAAAGCCCTCCGTTGACTGATAGAAAAAGCTTTAGGTAAAGACAAACATTTCTATATAGAATCATAGTTTCTAAAGTGAATTAACATTCTTTCTGATATGTTACATAGTAGCTTTTACAGAGAGTAAGCAGCCACAGACAGACCATTATCACTTTATTATAAAGTGTGATATGGTGAAGTGTCTGTACATAAACTATCTTTGTAGAAAATAAATATTTATGTAACTCATATGTGTAAAGTGAATGCAAAATGCTTAATTCATATTACTAGCCTCTGAAGCAGGATTACGTACCAAAAGCAACAATTATACCAAACATGACACAGAACATGCCTCCAACAATGGGCTGTGGAATTATGACAAAAACTGCGCCAAATTTGGTGAAGAGCCCTACAATCAGCATGAGCATAGCCGCACACTGGATCACTCGCCGACTTCCAATCTGTACCCATAGTCAACAGGTTCATTATGTACACAGGATAAGAAACAGACATTACAAACACACACTCAGCAATCCCTTTCCAACCACAAGGATTACATTCCTGAAAAAAACACTCTGTTTGTTAAAACCACAGTTAGCAAGACTAAAGATTAAGGATTTCTATATTTATGACTTATATAATGTCAGTGTCAGTAACCCAGACTCTGCATTGCTGAATGAGAAGATGGTTAGTGGATAATGAATTCAAAGGAACTGTGGTCTTAGGTCAGTCTTACACAGAAGGAACAGAACAGGCAATAATGGTATCCAAGGCCACTGTTGCATTAATGTGATCCAATGCTATTGTTGTGACCCAATAATAATTATCTTCCTACCATTGTAGTAATGTGTTCCAAAAATGACATCAGTTTCCTTTGTTACATAACATGACAATGACCTCAGTTTCTAGTAATGCAACAGTGTGTTGCAACACTGACTGCAGGTCATGCAGGTTGCCTACTTCCTAGGAAAAATGCAGCAGACAGAAATGAACAGTCCCATAAGGTATACTTCATCCACACTACAATGTGAAAAAGGACCCACCACTAGACCCTTTCCTGAGCGGGTTGAATTCAGTCCACATCCTATTTCTTTAAGTTCTATTTTAATATTATCCTTCCATCTATCCCTTTACTCATAATCTCTTGGAATGACATGAAAATGTACCTTCACTAGAACTATAGTATGTTCATACCAAAAGACTGATACATCTCTACATTCTGTTCTGGAATAAGGTTGTAGATCGGATGATTGTTTTTAAGTTTAGTTGTAGAGGTTTTACACGCTGTTAATTACCTTGGTAACACCAATTGCAGCCACATTTTCTCCAAACGTATTTGTACCATTCCCAGTGCCAAAGAGTCCTGCTACAATGGTACCAAGCCCCTCAATAGCAATACCTCGGTTGATGGTGTGGACTCGGGGAGGGGGTGCAGCTGTTAACATTCAACATTTACTCTCATTTTGAATTTTATTCTGAGGCCAAATGTTTATCATACCACTGCCAGAAGTAATTAATAATATTTTTCACACACACATGCATACAAACATTAACAAACACATACATATGCTAATATCAATATTGTATGTGGAATGTACCACACTTTCCTCTTTTCTCTATTTCTCTCGTTTTATTTGCCATTGCATATTAAATAAGATTAAATATGCATTATCATTTAAACTGTAGATAATGGACAAGTGTGATTTTTTTGTCTATGAATGTAGTCACTTCTTATATCTCACCACAATTTCCTAAGTACTTAAAAGTTTGCCACTCTGTATCACACTCATGATAAGTATATCAACTATTAACTCTGGTGCAAAATTATAAGTGTCCGTATTTTCAGTGAACATTAATGGGAGGCACAATTGGAACCTCAACCCACTTTCCTCTAATAACGAAATCAGTGATTTAATAAAGTCTAACCAATAAAGAATAATTTAATGGATCTATGTGAGAGGTGAAATGAAATGTATGTACATTTGGGATAACTATAATTTGGAGGAATATTTGTGAGATGTGCTTTAGTGTTGTCAGAATGATAAAGGGTTTTTAATATGATTGGGGATAATATTTTTCTTACAGCCAATTGGATGATTGTGCATAGAAAGCACTGCAGGTTTATAATATGGAAAGAAAATGAACATAAGGCAGTTTAAAACAAAATAATCTGTATCAGACTTGTACATATTTTTGATCACTTTACCACTCAGTTGTGTCATAAACTTATGGGAAACTAAGACAGGCCATGAACAGAGAATGAGCTGTATTGTAGAGAGAAGAAGTGCAGGTCTTTTTAAAATTCTGTGAATATTTATGGGAAGTGTAATTTTTGTTCATTATGGAATATTCTGAGTGCATGGTAAATCTTACGTTAGTAAAACATAATGTATGTCTTCTATTGAAACATATTTTTCATACCACATAATTGAGCTGTGGTGGGGTAGAAACTGATTGACTGCACAGTGCATGCTATGACACCTGCAATCATTCCCAACACACCTGATGGAGTTATTTTTGGTGCACCCCACTGCCCTGTAGGATAAAAGAAAAGCTTTAACTGAGAATAACAATGGATTAATAAACTTTATAAGCAGAAGAATGAGATTAGCAGAGACATTACAAGTTATTTTGTGTTTATAAATAGGATTGCTGATTAATGATTAAAGGTGTAAATATAACATTGTACTTCTGGTGCAGTTGATGTCACACAATTTACAGTGCAGAATAGTGTTGTAGAACTATTTTACATGTATTTTGAAGGAAGGTAACAAAATCAGTGTACTATCATTTCTCATCTCCTACCTGTGTAGTCACTGTTGCCTCCTAATTTCATGTATTGTTCCTTACAGTACAGTAATCGTAATTAGAAGAGCCTGAGCATAATTATTTTGGTATTGCAGACAGAGATGTATTTCTCATGTCTTTTATGTGTACTATATTACTCACCCATCTCGTCCTCTTTGATTTGATCATCTAATTCATATGTGGTGAAAATTTTAAATTATAGAGCTCCTCATGATGCAGTTTTCTCCATCTTCCTGTTACTTCCCTTCCCTTGGGTCCAAATATTTTCCTTAGCACTTTGTTTTCAAACACCCTGAAAAGTGTTCTACTTTTATGGTGAAAGACCAAGTATCAAAGTAAAATTATATATGTGTGTAATTTAATATTTGTCTTTAGACAGCAGACAGGAAGTCAGACATGGACTTGTGTGAGAAAATAAGTCTTATTGTTATAAAGATTCAAGTATTTTAATGAAATTGTGTTATAAGCTGGAGTTTTTTGGTGAAGGTTCACTATGATTTAATTTATCTGTTGCTTATCTCATGAACTCTTACCTGGATATGGGATTCGGAACCAAGGTGAATCCTTAATAATCTTTAGTTTGAAATCTGTCCTGGCTGGATGTTTGTCTGGAAGATATTCAGTCAGAGTCAGTATGCCACATATGCCCCACATTGCCATGATAGTCAGCATCACCTGGAACCACAGAAGTTATTGTTGCAGACATAAAATTTGTCATGTGGAAGTATAACTTAACTTTTATTTTTAAACTAAGGGTGTTATATTCTGTGAAGAACTCAGTGCAACAAAGAGTCTGGATACTGAATCATGTATTGTGTGTATTGGAAGAAGTCATTATTCTCCTAACAGTCAGTAGTAGCAAAGTCCTGTGTGACAAGTGGTACCACAGTCGACTGCAAATATTAGCACTATGATTAAGGTTAATTTCCATATTTCTTTACCATGTGTTATATTAATATTTAAGGAATATTAAATATGGTCTCAATTTATTGACCATCTGAGTGACTATTAGCATCTCAAGAAGAAATTTGTTCCTTGAAATTGGTTGGACTAATTTGGAGAGGTATAGTCAAGTGGCAGAAGAAAGGCAAGTGCTTGGAAACCGTGTAGCACTAAAAAGCTTTGTATGTAAAGATTAATGATTTTTAATAAACAAACAGGAAGACACAGGCAGTCATAAACTTATTACTAATTGTAATTATCAAATGTGATACAGTATTCTGTAGGCAGAAAGTTTACCGGAAATAGTTTGAAGAATTGGAACCATATTATTCTGAAACCCTGATCATATTTGTAAGTCAGGAATGGCACATTCACTTCTTTTAAAACCTGTGAGAATATAGTCAGCATCAAGACTGTCCTGCAACCAAAAGAAAAACGAATAGAACCAAAATCATAACTTATTTAATTTTATTTAATCATAAATGAAAAATATTGACAGATATCAACACACAGTGAAGAATATGAATCTGTGAGAAGCAAAATAAATTGGACAGATAAAAAATCTTGTAGTTAAGGAGAAGATGATGTAAATGTATGGGCACATGATGAAGGCTAGAAGAGAAATGAGCAAAAGTGGAAGAAGCACAGTAACAATACCTATATTATAGTTATTAGAAACATTTTTATTTTGTTAATGAAATGTAAACATGATCTGAAAGTTCCTTGTTTTAGTAGTGATACTGATACTGATAATGTAAAAGTGTTAAACAAGATAGAACATTTAAACAGAATACTTATACAATCTCATATAACTGTGACTGTGAATACCTAACAGCATATGTTACATTGGCAGTCACATGTAATGTACTTTGTACTCACCCTGCAGCGATTCCCCAGTGCTGCATTGCTGCATTAGCTGCACTTTCAAAAAAGGAGAGTCCAATTAGAGAGACTGTAGGGACGATGGTCAGAGGTGTTACATACCTCACCAATACTCCAACAATACCTATTTGCATAAAACATTCAACTTACTGAGTAATAATTTTACAGTGTAAGAATGAAATACTGTGTTTGCTTGAATGTATTGCTAATTTTTTCTCCATATATCTCCATGGAATAGACTATATTATACAGGCATTTGTGCGCAGAATTGAACATTCTAAAACATTATACATGTTTGCTTTTTCAGTATCTGTTTGGGGAATAAAAGAGTGTATATTTTGTATGTTCAAATACAGTACTTCATTACTGCTCTGACAATACTTTTACAGTATTTGTTGAAGTCCCTGGTAATTCTTAAGTATCATGAAGATATATGGAGTAGTAGGGCACTAGGTGAAGGTAAATAGTTAGCTTCATACCCTTGCTGCATAACCACTGAAGAAAGAGTTCCCAGAACCCAGTAGATAGGCTGTGTGGGCCTCAAAGTCAATCTGGATGCAGAAGCTAAGATAAAAATCTTTTGCCTCTACCAAGAATCAAAACCCTTTTGTCCAGCCCTTGCTCAGTCACTATACTGACTGTAATAAAGACGTACCTCTACAACACTATGACAGTACCTTTTATAATAGAATGCAATGCTTCATAACTCTCGAATTTAATGAATATTGATGAAAGACGAAGATAAATATATTTAGCACAGCACACTTCTTCATAAATAAATAAAAATGTCAATTCTAATAAAATAACAGCCCTGATTCACAAACAGTCTGTAAATGTAATGTTTGGTCTTCTTCTTCTTTGCTATTAATAACACACAGTATGAAATGTAATCAAAATCTGATAATTATAAAATGACTGGTATATGTGGAGAAGATGGTAATAACATGTTATCAACTGTGGTAAAAGCAATAATCTTACCAAATAAGCCAATGATAACCTGTATAATGGCCGCTACAGATATGGCTCCTGACAGTACCCGCATTCGAGTTTGCCATAACTCAGTTCTGTTCTCAAATGACATTCCTTCAAGAATTTCTGGTTCTGGGCATTTCCATTCTGGCATGTTTAGAATGGCCAGTACTGGAACTAGAAGTGATATGGTGCCCCCTTGCACAATTGGTAACCTTCATGGGGGCATAAAACATTTATTTTAATTTATTTTGAATGTGGCTGATAATAGTAAAGATAAAATCCAACTTTGCTTATATTTTTTATATTAGCTGCTGGCATTGTAATATCTTAGCTATAAATTACATAGTAGTAACAGGTGGAAAGAGGTATTACAGTAACATGGCAAATTGGACAGTATATTGCAAATAATCATGGTTTGTGTTCATGTCTTAAAACATAACTATATTTAGTATTTGATGGATATCATCTTGAAAACAACATGATGTATGAATGACTGAAATCTGGTTTATTTGACAGTGCTTTCTTAACTGCCTTGGTTATGAGGCACTGAGTTATAAATTGGAAATGATGTTGAAGGAAGTTTCTATTTTAAAGTGCTATCCTGGCATTTGCATACAGGAGCTGAGGAAAATCACAAAAAATCCGATTCAGGGTTTGAATACATGTGTTTTGAAACAGTTGAACAGTTTCTCTGAGATTTTTATAGTGACTGTATTATTCTGTTGAGTATTTGTTTTATCTTAATGGTTATAGAGTCAGGCATACCTGCAGCCGAAGGTGGACTGCACCCAGGTCACAATGCCAGTTACGAAGATTGTGGTGCATATAATGTTACTTTGAGCTGGGTCATCGTGACGCATGCAGAGTGCAGGTGTCAGGATGAATGGGATAGTCATAATGGAACCTATCATCGTGAAGTAGTTCTGAAATGGTAAGTCAGCATTTTAATTACATGCAGTGGAACCTTGATGAAATGCATCCAGTTATACTGCAGCTTTCATCATGTCCCCCAGTATGATTAGTATGTAAGTGTCAATTTCATTTGTAACACAGGCAGCTTATAATATATGTACTGAAGCTGTCCCCCAACAGCTATGAGATTTGAGGTTCCACTGTATATGGCCAATTTTAGTTTATTAAGAATTATAACCAATCATCATCAACTTGTAGCTGTTTTGAAAAACTATTTAAAAAACTAATTCAGGTCTGCTTTTACTTTTGGCATAGAAAATAAACAGAGTTCATATTTGGGCAATTTTGTTATTACTTAAATATGAATGGATGGGAAATAGTAATTTTAACAGTGTATGAGGTTCAGTCATAAAATTTTCAAGGCCTGAATGAGGAATATGATAACTAACTAACTACATGGCTTAGGGAACCCGAAGGTTCATCACTGAATTAAGCAAAGCCCTCCACCTGTCCCTGTCCTGGGCCAGGAAAATTCAATCACCTTCAACTCCTATCTCCCACAGATCCTGCTTGATATTATCCTCCCATCCACATCTAGGTCTCCCCAGCAGTCTCTTCCCTTCAGGCTTCAGATGAATAGCTGGTTCACACCTATCGCCCCATCCATGCGTGCTACATGCCCCGCCCATCTCATTCTTCTCAAGTTAATCACCCTGAAAATATTGGGGGAGTAGTATAAATATTTAAGCTCATCATTATGCAGTTTTCTCCACACCCCATCCTCTTCTCTCCTAGGCCCAAATATCCTCCTCAATACCTTATTCTCAAACACCTGCTTCCTCCCTCAGAGTGAGAGACCATGTTTCATACCCATACAAAACAATAGGAAAATTGTTTGTTTTCAAATATTTTAATCTTTAGGTTCTTAGAAGTCAGATGGGAAGAGAAAATATTTTGAACTGAAAAGTAGCCAGCATTTTCAGAATTTAGTCTCCTAATTTCCTCGTGAATATCATTTTGATTTGTTATTGTTATTCCCAAATATTTGAACTTTGTCACACTTTCAAAAGGATTTATTAGCCACCCTAATATGATATTGCCTGCCTGTCTGCTGATGGGATACTAACATGTACTTAGTTTTTTTCTGACTTTACTTCTAGGGCAACCTTCCTACTAGTTTCTAGTAAAACTTTATGTTCCTCTTCATTGTATTTATATCGTCACTCAATAAGTTAACATCATCAGCATATGCCAGTAGCTGGTGTGTCCACGAGAAATATGATAGGAGTATTATATAAGTGATCTAGTCACCAACTCTTTTGTTTTGTGGCGGAAAACAATTTTTTTATTGTGAGCATTGGTTTTTCTTCATATTCTGTAGACATCGATGGGAACCGAAATAAATGCTGATACTATATTTGTGAATGAAACTCTCAACTACCCAAAACATTTCACTGCTTGACTCCCCACTTAAAATTGACTGAATTTCCGTAACAATTGACATTGCACGTAGAAGAATAAGTTGTTTTCTTTTGTGGTGACACAAGGATGATTTGTGAAATTGTGGCAGAAGTTGCATCTCCTGTGGCAAATTCAATATAAAATTCGTCTCCAGGATCACAATTCCCTCTTACTTACCACTCTGCACAAGGGAATTCGTAACGTTCCACTTGGTGCCCATCCTGTGTATTTTGGCACTGTTTGACATTTTTGTGTAACCCTAACTGAAAACGACTCTAAATTAAAATATATTTCTGGAAGCACAGTGCTAGAATCGAATATCCCTCCGAAGGTAGAGTAGACCTATAGCCCGACAAAGGCAAGATATTATCTATGTAAGATCGCTTATTTCAATGTCTAGCTAATAAATAGAATTGTGGGCTCACTAGTTCAGTTCTTGTCACATAACCATTCACTTTGGTCGCGATATAATCTACCAGAAATGTTATGATAAATGGCAGAATTCCTAGTTTGGCTTAATGAATGTAAATCTGCTTTGAAGCAGATAAATTTCATTGTTATAAACGTTAGTTTATACCCCACATAACCAGCATCAGAAATTTCTGATTATATCTTGTATTGCTCATCCATATTACCTGGAGCCCCATTAAGATGCATAGATACCAAGGCGGAACATCATCGATGCCATATTTGACGTCTGACTGCATCTGTTTTTCCTCTTCTTCATTTTTAAAGGTGTTAGTATTTACATTTGCCAGATTGCTTTCATCTGACCCCAACACCTGAGAAATTGTTACAAACAAAAATTAAATTCTAATAAAATATAATCTTCACTGTCGATTCTTCTGGGCTGTAAAGTTATGTATTACTGGAAGAAACATTAAGCAGGAAATTGATTTGTGATTGGTTAGGCGGGAAAGTGTAATGTGTTGCAGGGAGTTAAATGCTTTGTATTGTGATAATCAGTCACGTTCGTGGAGAACAAGTTTGGTCCTGCAGTGACTTTCTTGTTTATCGTCATTTCATCTTCCGCCATTCGTTTTACAATCCACTAAGTTGTGTGCTTATTGAGATTTTTATTTTTGCATTTGTGTTGCTTGTTGATATGCATACCTGCTATGAGTCACATTAACCATGCTTGTGTCTCGTCCATCGTCATAAACAAACCAGTGAACAGTGGCGGCTGGTAATCTATTACAGATCTGAAGCCATCACCAGTGTAAGCTACATATAAAACTATTTAGGAAAATATTAAAGGAATACTATTTTATCACTCTCACTGTAGCTGGACTGGCCCTCATTGCTTCTAATGACGGTATATAGTTGGTCTATAATTATAAGTATGACTTTAATTAGGATCTGCTTACACATAATAATAATAATAAATCCGAAACAAAAACGGAACTTGCCTCTTAATTGACATAGCAACCGACTGACAGGAATGTGATTAAGAAGGAAGCAGAGAAGATCTTGAAATACAATGACCTCATAGAAATACAGAGAATGTGGAAGGTTCAAGCAAAAGTAATCCCAGTAGTTATAGGAGCAACAGGAACTCTCTCCAGGTCGCTCAGAAAATATTTGGCCAACATCCCGGGCGAACACGACATCAGGGAACTGCAGAAGACAGCCATTTTGGGAACCTCAAACATTATCCGAAAGACGTCATAAAATAAAATTATATAATACACGTAGCACTTGCTAATAACAATATGTATCCCGGAAATAGCTGCTGCCCCATGTACCTTAGGGACAAGGTCTGTCTAGGGTACATAGAAGTACATACCCCATAAAGTGGTGAAGAGATGGGATAATAATAATAATAATCCGTGGCGTACAGCTCTCTGAGAGCCAAAGCCGATTAGCTGGCTGCTGGCCTCACGTTCACATGCCTAAGCAGAGGTGAACGATCATCCAACCAGATATACGTAGGGTGACGTGTGGTCAGCAAGACGAACCCCCAGCCATTGCTAGCTTCCCTGACCGGATTACGCTACTCATTGTAGCTCCCCAATTTCCTCACGATGCTGGGTTGGCACCGGTCCCATACACCGGTCGAAAATCTCATGAGAAATTTCTTTCCCCGAGACTCGAACCAGCGCGCATTCCGTATCACCAGTCCGAAGCATGATACCTCAGACCGCGCGGGACCTGCTTACACATCATGCTTAATTAAACTGGGAAATTAATTTCCTTAATTGTCACCGCCATTATAACAATTAAGACTATTCGCTGGATGGGTTTGTATAAGGTTTATGTCCGTGGTCTTGTAATACTGTTAAGGAAAATAATTGATGACTATGAAATGTTTACAAAAATGGACTGCTGTCTGAAATAACAGCTTTGTATCTGAAACGATTTAACATGAGGTCAATGCGGAATGCAAATTCGTATTTTGGAAATGAGGTATGACAAATATTGAATGACACTTTTCCAATCTTTTGTTGTTTGAGTATGTGAATCATATCGTGGCATTTCTAAATTATTATTCCATGTACTAAAACAATTAATTACACATTTTGTATTCCATTGAACTGGCAGAATAATACTTCAGGAAATATTGAAGAATACGTTTCCCATTTCCTATCGAGAAGCCTTTATACAAACAGACGATAAAGCAAGGGTAAGAGAATGATTTATGGTAGTTGCTAATAATTACCGTGAGCACAAGATCGTTTCTGCTGCTTGTAATTCCTGGATCCATGATGTTGCACTGGAGGATGGATCTGCTATCTGAAGTGGATACCAGTTGTATAGTGCTGTGGTCAGCTGGCAAGTGGCAGTATGCAGGCCCCTTGCAGCGAGTATTTCACAACTTGCTGTATTTATTTAATGAGATCATTTGCATTGCCTCATAATGAGATACTCATGATTAATGGTCATCTAAGAAAAGTGTCACATAAACAACAAATCTGCACTAACTTTGTGCTGTCTTTACTTTTAGGTATAAGCTTAGAATTAATGTTCTGTACTATCTAGAAACCTATGGTTTGAAACAGATTATACAAAACTATAGTTTTACCAGCTTTTTTTTTGTAGGTGTGAAACTTGGTTTTTTACCAGACGGAAGAACATTTATCTAGGGTATTTGAGAAAAGGATACTGAGAATAGCTTGTTTGGACCTAAGATAGAAAGGTAGAAGGTCTAATAGGAGAATAAGGAAACTGCGTGATCATAATTAATCATACAGTACCTTTAGAAATAAAAATACCAAAATGTGTAACTTGTGTCATTATTTCTGTAACAGGTGTTATTAACATACTGTTGCTTTACAAAACTGACATCACTTGGCTATGGCATTATTCACCAATGTTAATATATGCTAAGAAGTTCTAACCATATTAGGAGAGTTGATGCACAGAGTGATTTGAAAATTTTAATTTTGTTTTTGTAGCTGAGTAGTGTGTTTGTACTAATTAAATTTCTCAAAAGCAAGTTAGTCTGCACATGTATTGTGGTCCATTAGAGATTTCTAGTAATGCTGATTCTTGTTTATCAGTTTATTGGTGCAAAACTGAGCCTGTCCTTTGGAATGAAGGAGAAAGTTTGTAGGTGTTTGAAAATACAGTCCTGTTGATACATTTTTGGGCCCAAGAAAGATTAATAACAGGGGAACAGAGAAACTTGCATAGTTAAGAATTATATAGTAAGTATTCTTCATCTACATAGTCCTTTAAAGTGATAAAATTAGGGACCTTGAAACAGGCATGATTGAGGGAAGAACTGATATGAATTAAATTTTGCTTGCAAAACCCTCATGGAAAGAGAATGTGGGAGTTGAGAAATTTGCAGAATGATAGTATAAAGTGAATATTAGGGGATTAAGTTGTAAGAATGTCAACTGAATTTAAGTGATTTTAAGGAAAAGTGACAGACTTATTATTGTACACACAACTGGGATTCCAAAATATGGAAAATTTTGAACAGATTAAAATAGAGTTCTGCAGTCATAGGTTTTAGTGAAGACACACCCACAGTGTAAAATATTCTGCACTGTTCATAGAGACAGCATTACTAAAGCCAAAAATTAAACTAAGGATTTCATTGCTAAGTTATTGAAGTACAAGATCACCAAAGTGCAGACCCTTGGTCTGTCATCCACATTCATGATATGAATGGCCCTGCCTACAAACAACTTCTGATCCAGAAATTCATATTAAATATTAAAATGTTCAAATGGTCCATGGTAAGTTGATCCCATGGAATGGTGTGTCCTCAGGTTCTGAATGGAGGAATGTCCTCCATGTTTGGAGGGTGACTTCAGATATATTGAATAAGTTGGTGTGGACAAATTACAGAGGGTTGTTCTCTAGCTTGAGGGGTGGATGTAGGGTAAAATCCCTTCACTATAAAATGTTCTGCATAATTAAACTTTCACAAAGTTCTAGAAATTTTACTTTGGAATAGTTCAGAAAAATGCTTAATGGTGAACTTTATCTTTGGTAGTGTTGAATCTTCAAATTCTGCTACCATTCAATGCTTAATGGCTGGCTATATTACACATTCCTCTATGGCAAGGCCATGTATACATAACAGGAAAAATCTGATATGTAACAGGAAACTGAAAACATGGGTGTTCTGTCTTTGTTCCACACATATACCACTTCCTTGGTTTATGTGTGTTTGTGAAGTATAAGCAAGAGAAAAATTTGCATTTGCAACAGAAGTTAATTACATGTAATGAACTAAAGACAAAAGCTTAAATGCATAAAGCCATCATGTCATCAACTTGAGTTTTAAGACCCTGGGCTTGTTTTCATTTCACTTTATTCATCCATCTCATTCAAGGTCTTCTACATTTTCATTAATGTCCTTTCTTCATAACACATGTGTGCCATTTCCTTGGTTTGTAGGTAGGCATGAAGGGTAGGTAGGAGAAAAATTTGCATCTGCAACAAAATAAAACAAATAGTGAACTGAAAATATGTATCTGTGTCTTCATTATATAAGCTCATAAGAAGATACTTTTTCAGGTATTCTGGAAACATTCATACGTGAAAGATCGTCTTTCCATTTGTTTAGGTTATTATTTTATATGTATGTTCATATGTTTGAAATACTTCCCCTATATCCAAGAACATTAATCTTCCAAGAGTAAAGAGTAAGAGACCTGTTCAGTTATGAATCTTTTTTGGGTTTCTTTTACACATCTTACATGCTTATTGCTTCTATGTTGTAATGCCACACACTGTTTCTGTTAGGTTTATTTAGTGTTAGTGATAATACATTGTCTAGATTAGGAAGTTAATAGCTGCACCTCACTTTTAACTATATTGTGTGGGACCCAAAACAGCAGCTATGATTATTTTGTCTATTGTTTTCATTCTTACCTTCTGACCAGTTCCATCCCAACAGGAAAGTCATATGTGCTTGTTGTGTCACCTGCTTCTTCAGGTTCTAACTTCATCTGGTTATGCCAAGCAATAAGGCCACGTTCTTCAAGGTCACCTATTCGCATTACAGTTTTATAAAATAAAATGGTCCTGTTTTATTCATATGGAAATACTGAAAGCTTGCTCTTTAAGTTTGTTATATGCATAGTTCTTACTATGCAATGTTGCTAACATAAATATTCTGTATCCAATTGAACAACATTCTGCAACAGTGTTATGTTATAATATATATTATTTACTGACATAATTTCCTATCACATAATTCTAACTCTAAATTTATTAAAAATGTAACTGTTGTAGATTTTTCCTTACACAATTTACTAGTAGTAGTTTACTCTTTATTTTAATAATTAAAAATCCAGTATGATTGTGAAATACAACAAAATTAAGACATAATGGCTTATTCAAACAGGAAAATGAGATTTACATTATACCTGGTATGAGGTTGTCACACAAGCAACCAATGATCCCTCCTACAAGGATACTTGTGCTGAGTAGGACAGTGATAATGCTGTCAGCAATTTCACTACCAGTCTGAATTACATGAGGGTGAGACACCATCCATTTAGGAAGCACCTGTACAACAATGCCATTGTCAGTCCTTCCCTCTTTACAGTCCAACTCCCTAAGTTACATCTCAATGTTATTCTTACTTATCCTTCTCAGTTGTTTTTGCACCAACATTTTGTATGCACTCCTTGTATCCCCGATCGTAGCTATGCTTAACCCATTCTGCCTTTTTCAATTTAACTATTGTAACAACAAAAGGTGACCAGAACAAATCACAGCATCTCTTTTTATGTGAAGTTCTACCTAAATTGACAATTTAAGCCTATTTTATCCTTCTGAGGCCAAAATATTTTCCTAACACTTGGCTTTCAAACACTTGCCATTTATGCTTTTACCTCAAACTAAGAGGGCACATTTGATACATATACAAAAAAAAAAGTAGTAACATTGTTTCTTATGACCTGATCTTCAACTTTTTGAACAGCAAACAAAATAAGAGTTTTCAAACTGAATGTTACAAAATGTCAAGAGTTTATTCTTCTCCTGATTTCATCATGCAACTAATTGATAATTGTTATTGTTGTTTTAAGAGTCTTAATAAGGAATAATTTATATCATTTCACGAGAGTGATACATCATGTGTCACTTAGGAAACAATATTTATTCAAGAGTTGCCTAATGCTAAATAGACCTTAAGTATTCATCTGTCACACTTCATCACTAAATTGTATGTATACATTACTTGGCTCTAAACATGGGACATGCAAATTTTATGTATTCAAGATTCATACTAAAGATTATTAATTATACAAACGTACTTTATTTTGTGATAATTAACTCCATAGAACAGAATACTTCATGAGAAGCTGTAGGCACTTACTATATAAGAAATTCCCAGACATTTGTGAAACCTGAAGAGCCTGCCGTGGGATTCTATTCTAAGCCACTTGAATCCAGTCCATACTCTCACATCATATTTCTTTAATATCCATTTTAATATTATTAATTCATCCACATTCCACATCTAGGTCTCTCCCCATTCACTATATAATCAATGTAGTTGCCTTCATCAAATTGTTGCACCCTGCTTAACAACATTTATCTTCTCAAAATAAAGAGTTTGAATGATTAAGTAGGTTTTGAGGTTTTCACAGCAGTGAGTCTGAAGATGGCTATCTTCAGGTTGAATGATAAAATGAATAATGTATGTAATGTAACTTTATACAGAACAGTGTAATGGTAAACTTCTTTGTATTCTTATATATAATAGGCAAGTCCAAGTGGCTTACCAGAGGGAAGAAAATGGATAATCCGATGATATAGAGATTGCGTGCTGAATTTAGGTCCACATACTGTAGAGCTGATAGGCCTATAGGTCATAGAAGCACAGTAGTCAGGATTTATAAATTAAAATTAATTATTTCTTGGATATAATATTGAACAAATTATGTGTGTGTATATATTTTTTTTTTGTATTTTTTAAAATCACTGGTACACACTCAAATCACATTTAGCAAAACATTCTTATAAAGTAACTACTGCAGACAAATTTCTGTAACTATCCTGATTTCATTGGGTCCGCAGTGGCCACGCGGTCTGGGGCGTGGGCCTTGTGCCGCTTGGTCACTGGGACCGTGGGTTCGAATCTCACTTAAGCCATGGATTGTTGTCTGCATTTTTCTGTGTTGTGCTGTCCTGTGTACAGTTAGAGGCCTTTCAACGGGCCGATCCCTCGTCCAAGGAGTCCTATCAAAATGTCTATAGATCAAGCTAATGAAAAGTTGGGACCCGCAGTATCTCAGTATCCTGATTTCATATACATTTTTACTGTTTCCTGATCTGATTAGGTGAGGACAAAAATAGATCTGAGTTTAAAAAGTTATATTAGGCTGGCAGGTCAGGCTTGCTTTCTTGTATTCAGGAACTAATCACATTAGTAGCTGATACACTCTTCTGATTCAGTTACTTTTGCCAACATCACTGCAATATGGTTATGGTGTTTAAGTTCTTCATTCATGCAAGAATCTAGTCTTATTGAGAATTTTATAAATATTTTATTTTTATGATCTTTTACAAGGTTGTTTTTACATAAAAACAAACATTTAAGAATATTCTTTCATGTGTGACACTAAAATCACATATCGGTATGACTGCTCAAAGAATGCAAAACTCTTAAAGGAAATAGAAGCAGCCTGTAATAGAGTTTCATACACTCCGTAATCTGAATTATGATTATTAAGGGGGACAAATGGTAATAAATTATATGAGTGAAGTTATAGGTATGTATCTAATTAGAAATTAGCAGGTTACTACTAATATAGTTAGGCTACATTATGACAATAACTTACCAAAAGCTGCAATCATGCCAAACATGACACAGAACATTCCACCCACAACAGGCTGTGGTATGATAATGAAAACTGCACCAAACTTGCTGATCAGACCCTGGATTATCATTAAAACAGCAGCATACTGGATCACTCGCCGACTGCCAATCTGTATCCAGATTAGAACATACAGATTTGACAAATTATTACAGTATTAAAATTGTTAAATATTTTATAAAGCAAGGATAGACACATTTAGGTGGGTTATACACAGAGGAGAATACTGACTAAAAGACTAGAAAAGAAAAAAAGAAAAAGAAAAGAAAAAAGAAGATAGAGGAAGTGATGGAAGAAGACCAATTTTGATTCAGGAGAGGAAGAGGAATTACACGATTACACGAAGGAAAGCTAACTGGCCGGGACATATTATGAGAAGGAATGGATTACTGAGTGATATCATCGAAGGCCAGGTTGAAGGAAAGCGAGGACTGGGAAGAAGACTGATACAGCTAACCGACGATCTGAAACAAGGAAAGAAGATGAAGTTTCAGGATTTAAAACGAGAAGCTGAGAATAGGGAAAACTGGAGAGCTCTTTTTGGGCAGGGCAATGGACCTGTCGAAAGACAGAACACTGAATAATAATAATACACAGAGGAAATAAATTCCATGAAATTGGTTTCGTAAAACTGGAATATATGGAATGGAATATTGAAGAAGGAAAATTATTATTTGTGTTGAACAAATATTAATTTTATATGAACTGTACTGAAACATTTAAGTGTGTTAGATAACAAAATTAACATAATTCTGCATATAATAAGGTAGAGAGTATGGAATGGAAATCAACATTGAAAAATCAAAGGTAATGAGGATAGCACCGAGAGCAGAACCATTGAACGTTGTAATTGGAAACCAACAGATGGAGAATGTGGAGCATTTCAAGTACTTGGGAAGCATAGTCACGACGGACGCCCTATGCACCAAGGAAGTAAAAGCAAGGATAGCCATGGCCAAGGCAGCTTTCGTCAAGAAGAGGATACTTCTCACTAGCAAGTTGGGCTTGGAGATGATGAAGAAACTAGTGAAGTGTTACGTATGGAGCAGAGACTTGGACACTCAGGAAGAAGGAACAGAAATACCTGGAGAGTTTCGAAATGTGGTGTTGGAGAAGAATAGAGAAGATCAGGTGGACGGATCGAGTGACCAACGAAGAAGTATTGAGGAGAGTCAACGAGCAAAGAAACATTCTGCAGGCGATTACACGAAGGAAAGCTAACTAGCTGGGACATATTATGAGAAGAATGGGTTACTGAGTGATATCATCGAAGGCCAGGTTGAAGGAAAGCGAGGACTGGGAAGAAGACTGATACAGCTAACCGACGATCTGAAACAAGGAAAGAAGATGAAGTTTCAGGATTTAAAACGAGAAGCTAAGAATAGGGAAAACTGGAGAGCTCTTTTTGGGCAGGGCAATGGACCTGTCGAAAGACAGAACACTGAATAATAATAATACACAGAGGAAATAAATTCCATGAAATTGGTTTCGTAAAACTGGAATATATGGAATGGAATATTGAAGAAGGAAAATTATTATTTGTGTTGAACAAATATTAATTTTATATGAACTGTACTGAAACATTTAAGTGTGTTAGATAACAAAATTAACATAATTCTGCATATAATAATCATTTTTGACGTAAATACGTCTATAAGGAAGGGTCATTCAGCAAAAAAGTGTAACGAAAAACGGAAACGAAAAAGGGGAACGAAAAAGTGTAAGATGGTTACCTGGGAAACATCATCTGTTTATCAACAAATAAACAACAATGGTTACATAGGAAACTTCATCATCTGTTTATTGTTACCTACGAAACGTCAATTGTTTACTCAACATTATTGTTACTTTACCTTACCTTACATTACATTACATTTCATTACATTGCATTACTTTACATTACATTCAGCTACCACAGACCCATCTTAAGCGTAACTAATTCAAGTTGAATAAGCAATGTCTTAATCAAAATTATATCAATTGTAAAGCATGTATGAAGGAAATATTTAGAATAAAGCCAATATATAAACTTCCTTTCCGTATAGACGTATTACGTCAAATTCTCCGGAACCGTGGTTCCACTGACAACTTTTTTAAGGGAGGAACATTATATTCTGAACATTTTTTGTTTTTAACATTACCTTTGTGACTCCAATTGCACCAACATTCTCTCCAAAAGTGTTAGTGCCATTTCCACTACCCCATAGTCCTGCTAAGATAGTGCCTAACCCTTCAGTAGCAATGCCCCTGTTGATGGCATGTACAGGTGGTGGGGGTGCTCCTGAAATTGTGATGTTCAATTATTGTAATAGCTTTTTACTGATTTCAAACAATGTTTTATCCTGAGGAGTCTCTCTTCAAACTTTCTCGCAAGCAGCCTTTGTGACGTGAAAGCTTGGGCTTAAAACGTATTTGAGTTTAACTTTGCTAGCTTCCGTTCTTAAAGAGCCTAAATAATTTTAAAGTATTTCAAAAATAGTTCCAGAATGGTCTTATTTTAAATGTAAATAGTGTGTTCTTGTGTAGTGCTAGGGTTTCATATTTAATTAGTCTGTGTCCAATGTAAAATATTGTGGTGGTGCTTGAAAGGTAATATTCTGACCATGTGTCTACTTCCGCAACAAAGAGACGGTGGCTGTTAGAAATGTTAACAGTTAATGGTTTTGTACAGCACTAAAATGTAAATCCAGTGATTATTAATTTCATCACCATTTTACCGCTTGTCTTGGAAGGGCATGGAACTCATTTTCGTAGACTGAGGGTGTTTAAGAACAGGGTGATGATGAGAATATTTAGACCTGAGACAGATGAAGTAACAGGAGAATGGATAATATAACGTAGTGAGGAACTCTATAATTTGTACTCTTCATCAAATATTATTAGGGTAAACAAGTCAGGGGGTATAAATTGGCAAGGCACGTAGAATACAAGGTGAACTGAGAAATGCATACAACATTTTTGTTGGAAACCAGAAGGGAAGAGATCCCTTGGGAGATCTAGGTTTTGATGGGAGGTTATATTAATATTAATCTTGTGAGCATGAGAATTGAATTCATCTGGCTCAAGACATGACCTAGTGCTGGGCTGTTGTGAGTGCAGTAAAGAAAATTCCATAAAATATGGGAGATTTCTGGTTAGATCGGTGAATATTAGCTTCTAAAGAAGATCTCTGCTGCATGAAGTTATGATTTCCATTATTAATTATTACCACACATCCTTGCTGTAGTGGGATAGTAACTGATAGACTCCACAGTGCAAGCCAGGACACCTGCAAGCATCCCTAGCACACCTGCTGCCGTGACAGTCGGCACACCCCATTGCCCTGTTAAAAATTACATTTGAAAACAAATCTGTTATTGTAAATATTAAAGACACCCAAGAATGACTGAATGCATTTTAGAGTTCTGTAGAGATAAACGTTATATTCTCAATTTGATTAATTTAATTTATTTAATTGCTTGACACTGGCAAAGAAGCCAGTTAAGTGCATGCACTGAAAAGAAGACCGGATATAGTAAAACACAGATAACAAGGAAAAATGTGATAACAGTTTCAGATAACATAGACACAGAGACCATATTTACAAAATAATTCTTAAAGAGTTCAGGATGAAAGAACGTACATTAATCAGTGAGTCATTAAAGAAGTAAACGATGCCAGTGAGCAGAGTACTTTGTTGAATATATTGTTCTTGCAGATTACATTAACAGTAGAAGCATACGTAGTTGACCTCAAAGTGATGGTATAAATTAAAAGTAGAGTTGTCACTATTCATTAACAGAGTCCAGATGGCCAAGTTTCGATTTCCAACAGGGAACTGTTTCTCTTTACCATTGCTTTGCTTTGAGAATCCTCTGGGGCCAAAATATCCTCTTACCTAAGAAGCATTTATGGAGACTTTAATCCATATTTTTGTACATATTAATGATGTAGTGCTTTGGCATTTTTGTGGGCTATTGGTATTATGACAGTTTCACAATAAAAATATCAAAGAAACACAACACTATGCGTGAGACAGCGTTTTATGTTTCCACTCATCATCATGAACATATCGGATTAAATCCTAGATCTCTTCTGGTTACAATAATTAAAATTGTACATTCTGTTTGCCCTTCCCACTTAATGCAACTTTTGGAATTGTAACAACTGCCGACCTGGAAAAGTGAGGGTATTTATTTTTTTATTTGGTTCCTGGTTTTTTTAGATAGGTTGTTTTTCACTATGACTACGGAGTCTTGTTTCCCCCCATTATACTCTCAGGGGCTATTCCCCAGGTTAGCTGTCTTTTCATCTACTTCCCCAGCTTGGCCGGATGATTGGAGTATTGGATGATGAGAAGTTCCACTGTGAGTTACTCACATCTGGCCACTTACCAGGATAGGGGAAGCGAAACCAAGGCGAGTCCTCGATGATCCGCAGTTTGACGTCTGTCCTGGCCGGGTGCCCCTCTGGAAGGTTCCCAGACAAGGTTAACAGGCCACAAATTCCCCACATTATCATGATGGTTAGCAGCACCTGGGGACACATGATTCTAATAGCTGCTCCTCCTTCATGTCTTGATGACATACGTGTGTGGAAGTATAGCTTCATGCAATTTTAACCCCAGCACCAGAAGGATATAAGTGACCATGCACATAGTTTGGCTGCTTAACCCACTCAGAATGAGCCCCGATTACGTAATTGGAAATAATAATAATAATAATACATGTAACACACATTAAAAACAAAATGTATTTCGGAAATAGCTGCTGCACTATGTACCTCAGGGGCAAGGATGGCTCAGGTACATAGAAGTATATACGCTGTAAAGTGGTGAATAGATGGAATAATAATAATAATAATAATAATAATTCTGCTAATAAAGACAGTTGGAATCGTCGATTGATCTGAGACAAGCGAATTAAAATAATATTGGCCTCAGATAAAACTCGGCCCGTTTCACCATATACATAGAGACTGGGAGAAGATGCGGAGTTGATTATCAGGTCGAAAAATTCTTGAATTTTTTAATATAGCAGCATCAGGAAAGTGCATCTGGTGTGCCGGATTAACTGCAAATTGAAATTTCCCGATAATACTAAAAAATAGGTATTTACCTTCAAACTTTATGTTGCGTAGCTTTGGGGACAGTCTGTATTTCATACAGACATCCTTCAAATTTGACGCAATTTAACCTACGCAGTTGAGGAAATTCAGTTAAATTGATGAACAGGGAAGCAAACAAATTTCTGGGCTAGCAGTAAGTGCTTTTCTGAATTATTTAGAAGCTGCTGTCTGTCGTTGATGGATTGGGTACGGTCTGTATTAGTGCAGATTTAAATATTATATTACTCACAGGAAAAAGTTTGAAGAGATGGAACCAGATTATGGTAAAACCCCTGCCACGTTTATACCCTGGAAATGGTACTGTCACCCCAGCTAAGCACTGTGAGAATACGGTCAGTATCAGGATGGTGCTGAAAGAAATTATGTGGCATATTCTTACAGAAATGCCATATACACGCATACAGATTCAAAATTGTTTACTTCGTTGATGCATATTCCTCAACTATAACGGCGAGCCCTCTGCCCTATTCTGATTCAAAATTAATTTTTAAGCAGTGGGTCGTTTAGACATACGGATGGCTTAAATTGTACCTGCTATGTTTAATACTTTATTTCATCTGAATGATGAGGCATAAAATTCTCATTTATTGGCGTCTCAAACCATTTATATTTCGTTGTTTACCCTGAACCTCGACGATCTTTCGCAGTGTTATCACAAATTCTGACACCACACGTTGGAGGAATCACTTGGAATAACGATGATTTCACGCGCAGTAGATGATTTGAGTTCATCCAAAAGTTACCTTGGTAACCCGAACTAAAACAATCTGTTTGAATACCACAGTGCGTCAGTAAAGTTTCTTCAAATTATAATCACTCGTTGCTGAGAAAATTGAGTTTAAACTTGGTAAGTGCGTTTAGGGTCATTCTGTATAATGTTGACCCAAGGCCCACTCCGAAGTCTCTGTCTACACTGCATAATGGTACACAGTCGCGGACGCATATGCTCCGAATGGGATTTGAACCCGTGATAGTGCTTCAGCGATCCAAGACCAGACGCGCTCGCGGCCTAGTGAGCTATATAAGTTTGTTATAAACAATGGTGTACTCACCCCACAGCTATACCCCAATGCTGTGACGCTGCTTCTGCGGCATTTTCAAATAGAGACAGTCCTACTAACGAGACTGTGGGCACAATGGTGAGAGGTGTTACGTATCTCAGCAGCATTCCGACAATACCTGTTTCAGAGCAACAGACATGATGCTTCAGGAACACTGTTATAGTACGACACACTCCCTGAGAAACAATGGGATAGAATTATAGTCTGTGTTGCTTTTGCACAGTAGGAAAGCCACCCATAACTCACCCAAGTACCCGATAGCAGCCAGGAGAATGGCAGACACTGCTATGGCACCAGAAAGCTCCCTCATTCGAATCTGCCACAACTCGGTTCTGTTCTCGGGAGACATTGCTTCCAGCACTGCTGGGTCGGGGCAGCGCCACTGAGGCAAATTGAGAATGGCCAAAGTAGGGACAAGAAAGGAAATTGTGCCCCCTTGCACAATAGGCAACCTGCAACAGAACTCTCATACAATTAACGCAGAGAATGAATGCGTAATAGTATCACAATTAATCGAAAAATAAATCTAAGAGTCTTTCTTGGGAAGTTATTAGTCGCTCAACTGGTCACAAATTCCTTACTTCTTATGGAACCCGTAGATTCCTTTCCGCATCTACAAGAACTTTCCCATGTCCCCCTAAGTCGCTTCATTCCAGCTCATATCTTCACACGCCCTGTTTCTCTGATACCAAATTTAACGTTATCCTCCCATATTCACCTAAATAGCACCATTTCTTCTGCTTTCCCGACTAAAATTGTGTGTATATTTATTATCTTTCCCATTCGTGTTAGCCCGGCTAACACTCTGAAAAACAAAAACAAAAATAAAAAAACTTTCTGTCTTACTTTCGTGGTTCATTGGTACTTCATACACCGGATCACAGCAGAACCGATACGATAAAGTGCACTGTTAGTCGGCTTCAGCCAACCAAGAGTTGCTAGTGCTGTTACGCTCAAGGCGAGCGTCTCAGCTAGATATGTGCTGTAAAATCTTGACCGCATTGTTTAACAAGTGTTTATATGGAGAACACGTTTGTCGTGAATGGAAAGTGAGGTGTATAACATGTTATATCTATGGTATATATCGTTTTTTAAAACGATAACAACACTGAGTGTACGAACTACCGAGGTTGTTCGTGTGTTGAGTCAATACTATTGGCACTGACACTGGCACGTTCTTTATATCAAAGAAGATGTGTGAAAAGGGGCCACCTTATTGAAGTGCTCTGCAACTTCAGAAAGCTTAAAGCCACGACGTCGCGTTACGTCGACTATGCAAAAGCTTAGCTTTGTAGCATGTATTAAAACAATTATAAACTTTTCAAAGACAGTGTAAGCTGTAATATAAAGGCATAGAAGAAGCTGTCGGAATAGCTCTGAGTAGCCAGAGAGTTAAAACAAAAATGCGGTATTGCATTTACTTTATCTAAAACTAATGTTAATGAAGTTAATATTTAGACGATTCTTGAAAGATTGATGTAAATTATTTTTTTGTATTTATTAGGTATCTGCAACACATAAACCGTTATACAGTTGTTGACTATAAGACTTTTAACTGACTTCGGCAAGTTATTTTATTTGTTTGTTCATATATTTACCGGCAGCCGAAGGTGGACTGCACCCAGGTTACAATGCCTGTCACGAAGATCATAGTGCATATGATATGGCCTCGAGCTGGGTCGTCGTCTTTCATGCAGAGCGCAGGAGTCAGGATGAATGGAATGGACACTATGGCGCCTATCATTGTCAAGTAGTGCTGAAAACGTAAGTGAACATTTTTTACCATCGTATATAATGAAATTGTCATATATTTTAACCTATTTTTACTTAGATGATTCCGTCAGATTAAAAGAAACGACACCCCAGATAGCTGAGGCCACGTTGTTCAGTAGAAATTGTAACATTGTTTTATGATAATCTTTCAACTGAATCATTAGATTTTACAAGAAGGCGATGGGGAAGAAGAAAATATTAGCCTTTCGTTATGCAATGTCTATTTAAGGCTTACAAGTTGGATCACGAATCTGGGATGTTTAATACTTGGACTTTTTACAAATGTATTAACACAATTTGATAATGATGATGGCAAGTCTTTCAATATAAAATATAAATAAATTTGTCAGAACTTTTATAACGTCATCAACGAAAAATCGATTCCGTCCTACTATTGGATAATACGTGTACATATTGGCCTGTTCTAAATATGAGGATGTTTTAGTGTCACGTGGGTTGCTAAGTTTCATATGTCTGTAAAATCATTAAGGTATTTATTAAAACAGCGGCATTTTTTTTAGATTCAATGAACTTAAATCAAAATCTAAAGGAAGTCAGCCATGTTTTGCGATCGTAGTTCATATCCTCTTCAACTTCAACTTTGTTTAATGAGATGTGTATGTGAATATTTTATTCGGTTGTATGTGTATATACATCAGGGGTGGAACGTTCATGTTCACCATGTTAGCCCGGCTAACACTCTAAAAAACGAAACATGAAATGTCTTCTGTCTTACTTCCGTGGTTCAGTGGTAGTCCACACACACTGTAACACAGTAAAATCGATAAGCTAAAATTCATCATTAGCCAGCTCCAACCAGCTAGGCGTTGTTACGCTCGCAGCGAGCGTAAGCCTCAACTAGCTGGTTAACAATGCCTGGCTGGTTAGAGGTGGCTAACGATGAATTGTAGGTTATCGATTTTACTGTGTTCCGGTGTGTGTGGACTACCACTGAACCACGGAAGTAGGACAGAAGACATTTTTTGTTTCTTTTACGATCAACATGAACCTGATACTATCTTTGATGTACATATGTGCGTACGTAGATGGACGGATAGATGCAGGTACAGCACATAAATGCACGTGGTCATCCCACCTGGAGCGCCATGAAGATGCAGAGATACCAAGGTGGTATGTCGTCAATGCCATACGTGATGAGTGCCTCCTTTCTGTCCTCATGCTGATTGATGCCAGGGCTGGAGAGGTTTTCCTTCGAGTGGACATCTTCTATTCCAATGACCTGCAGTATCATTGCATTAAATTTGCTGTTGCGAGACGTTATTCAACTGTAGATTATATCATTAACGTAATGTTTGATTCCGGATGATCTGCAGATTTGAGGCTTTTCTTTCATTTTTCATTATACTCAGTTTGAAGCACGGCGCATGAAATTTATAATGAATTTCTCGAAAGATCCCGGGCTTTTCACATTATTGTTAAGTCATTTTGAGTTTCCTTAACTTCTACCTAGGTTACATAGAACGTCCAGTGGAAATTGTTATAAAACATTTTTTTATTTATAAGTGGTAAATAATATAAATACAACAGCTTCGTCTAGAGGTATAAAATCGGCGATATCGATTTGTTTCATTCAGATATTGACACAATACACATAGACATGTTTATTTCGTGGAGAGCACTAATATTATCGGATCGTGACAGAAGAATTTGACAACTTGTCACACGAGTAAGTTTCTGATAACTGCCATAAAAATCAGAAACTATATATTTCCGTCACTTATTGCATGTTTGAAGGTCACAGAAGAATTGGAAATTTTTGCAATACGAGCAACGGAGCTTCGGCGAGTGAAAACAGCTCAGTACTCTCAGCTTAGCGAAATTACCGACGCTGTACTAATAATTAAAGCCGTGAGGTAAGGGGGGGATTTTGTCCTTCAGTCACCATGATGCACGCAATTCGGTGATAGCTACTTGTCGTTGCAGTTATAACAGGAAATCGCCATCACATGTTTATGCTTTCCTTGTTTCGTTATCTTGTGGAAATTTTAGGTACGGACCTCGAAACTTTTCCTGTACATAGACACGTAAACAAGCGCCCGTACACTTATCTCAGGTATTAAATTCATCCCTCACCCTCGAAGTAGTTCCCCTGGGAGTGTACACAACGATCCCAGCGCCGCTGCCAAGCCCGGAAACCTATGAAATGCTAAAGCAAGCTTTTGGGGAGTCCGCAATGGGTCGTGCACAAACCTTTGTGTGCATTCACGTTTTAAAAATGGCCGAACCTCTGTCGATGATGACGAGCGTTCTGGACGACCATCTTCGAGCACAACGCTCGAAAATGTTACGAAGATTCGGCAGGGCATTCACGAAGATCGACGTCGTACCTTCAACGACTTGTGCGACATTGTTGGGATAGGCTATGGGACCTGTCAGCTGATTCTAAAGGAAGAACTCCACATGCGACGCATCGCAGCCAAGTTTGTGCCAAGGCTCCTGTCTGAGGACCAGAAGCAGAATCGACTTCTCGTTTGTCAGGAGCTCAAAGATCTTGCAAGAACCGACCCCAACTTCCTTTCTAAGGTTTCCTCTTCCCAAAGATGAAAATTCAGCTAAAGGGAAGGAGATTTGAGACGATAGAAGAGATTCAGGCAGAATCGCAGATGGTGCTTGACAGGCTGACAAAGAAAGATTTCCAGCGATGCTTCCAGGCTTGGCAGCGGCGCTGGGATCGTTGTGTTCACTCCCAGGGGAACTACTTCGAGGGTGATGGATGAATTTAGTACCTGAGATAAGTGTACGGGTTTTTATAGGCGCAGTCTTGAAACTTTCCGATCGCACCTCGTATGTAGACAGAGGTGGGGGTTGGGGATATATTATAATTCCAATGTAGTCGAAAAAGATGGGAACTTGAAGCCTGATTGTTGAAGCATTTCTACTTTAAGATAGCTGCATTTTGGGTTGTAATGTCGTGTAGTCTGGTGTACGTTTACCGACATTTCAGAGGTACTTGTTGCCTACATCATCATTGCCCTGATGATGGAGGTAGCAAAGACCTCTGAAACGTTGGTAAACTTCTGCCAGACTACACGGCGCTATAACCCAGGAGACAGCCATCTTCAGACTTACTGTCATGAAAACGTCAAATTCTACTTAGCATTTTAATTGGTTTTATGGATAGGCCTATATGATTATTTAGAATTTTGACAGCACTTCTGTAATGAGTAGTAGGCTCTCTTGAAGGAGAAATAGAAACGACCCAAAGCAGTTTCGGTCCGAGAAGTAATAGAGTTGCGTGAGTAAAATTAAGTAGTGAATAAGTAAATGTATACCGAAAGAACGAGTTGGTTTGTGCTGTCCGTGATGTTCGGATCCATATCGCGCACTTGAAGCACAGTGTCTGCGTCCGTTCGGTTAGGAAAGTCACTAACAACTGAATTGATGTCCTGTTAAAACTTCGGCCAGCTTTCACGGCCTTCACACGGATTACTAAAATGTACAACAAAACCTATCCCCACGTGGAACGAATTACAAGGCGCACAACTATGTCTTTACATAAGGACTTCAAAGAACCTGTTATTAATAATCAAGTGGCTTAAAATCGGGTCGTGACTTTTAACCACTAACGCAGAATATGCAAATCTGATATGTATGAGTCACAGTTCAATCCACGAGAAACGTTTGGTTATATCAGAACTACGTTTCTGATGATGAGACGCAGCCTGTACGTCATGTAGTCTAAATCAGGGTTTCAACGTGCCGTGAATTTTTATAAGAAGTTTCATATTTATTAAAACTCAAAGTCCGAGGCCGTTTCCAACATTTTTTCAACATTATATATTTTTTAAGATGTTAGTTTGCAGCTATAGGCCAGCTGATGAGCTATTGAAACTTGTGCCATTATTCTTGTTTTTTGACGTAAATACGTCTATATTTTAGGGTCAGTGTCATTCGGCAAAAAGTGAAACGAAAAAGTGTAACTGCATTGTTATGTTACCTTGGAAACTTCAATTGTTTACTCGGCATTATTGTTACCTAGGAAACGTCATCTGTTTACTCGGCATTATTGTTACCTATAAAACATTTCATTACATTACCTTAACTTACCTTACCTTACATTACATTACCTTTCCTTACCTTACCTTACCTTTTCTTACATTTCATTACATTACATTACTTTACATTACATTCAGCTACCACAGATCCATCTTAAGCGTAACTAATTCAAGTTAAATAAGCAATGTTTTAATCAAACTTTATTCAATTGTAAAGCGGGTATAAAGGAAATATATAGAAGAAAGCCAATATATAAACTTCCTTTCCGTATAGACGTATTTACGTCTAATTCTCCGGAACCGTGGTTCCACTATCACTTTTTTTTCAAGTCTCTTCTACTTTGTAGTATTATATTGATTGCGTCTTATGATTGGCGTTTCATTCTTTTTGTTAAAATGTTACACTGTCATGTTCAGGCCTTGAGATGGCACGTGTTAGCGAGCACAGATTCGCTACCAGAAATTACGAGCCAAGTCAGGATCACGTGCGAATGGCCATCATAACAATCGACTTTATGCGTTCTTTTCGCAGAGTGAATATAGTTAACCTATACTGTGGTGATTTTGTCTATCCATCACCATCTTTGAAATCCGAAACTACTTGAACGGAGTTGAATTAAATCTGGAAGTTATCATGGAGACATGTTGTTAACTTTCCTCCGCATTTTTGTTAGCCTACTTATCTTTCGTAAAGATAGAGAGAGAGTGAGAGAAATATAGAATGAGGGCTTACGAGATTATCATGCTTCTGTGTCTGTATGTACTCCACTTTTCAACTATTGAAACTGTTTAATGATTTCCAATAAACCTGGTATGAACTTTATGTCATTATAGCCTACTTCAAATCTCTTACATTTTAATTTTAGAAAAAGAGCGGAAACACTAATTCCATAGGTCGGAGCGGAACTAGAATCACTTAATATAGGATTCTAAATTTATGTATGGTAATAGATGATTGAAAAATACGCAACTTTTGTTGACATAACATTTCTTGCAGAATGTAAAGCAACAAAGTGTTTTCTCGTCTTCTTTCTTATTTCTCCACAAACAAACGAACGTGTAATTTGTAACGTTAAAAAGATCAGCTCCAAACAAACTCGCCCGTTGATTTTATTCATCATTGCGCTAATGGTATTTTTTACGTCTACTGTTTTGTCATATGTGAAATTCTAAGAACTGTGACGGAAGTCGGGCGATCTGAGCCAGCTGTGGTGATCTCAGTTCTCTGTTGGTTGTTTATTCATTATGAAATCGGTATTTATAAAACATATTAAAAACCGAAAAATCTGGAAAGACAAAAGTTTGCACAGGAATCAGGGATGTGGAGTCGGATTCGGTAAAAATGCACCGTCTCCGACTCCGACCTCGATATAAAATCTTAAGAACAATTTATATACCGTGTGAGCCGTCCTCACGCTTAGGGAGATTCAATGAAGCGTTGAGCCACATGATGTGGGAATAATGCTTTGTAACTTTGGCTCCGGTACCTTAAGAATACAGACTGTCTAGAAATCAACCGATTGCTGCAATAACCATTAGACGTATATTTAAATATAGGCTATAAGTCTAAAAAGTAGGCTGATGATTCACGTGGTGGCGATGAAATCTCTTATGGTACCATTTACCATTTTAGTAGGTTTACCATTATTGATACATATTAAGCTTTTATAAAGGAGTCGGAATTGAAGCCGGTGTCGGATTCGGAGACTCCACAGCCCTGACAGGAACTTCACAACGTGGAGGAATCTGTGTTTGCTTAAATATGGCAGTATTCTGGATTGTAATGCCATATAACCTGGTAGAAAATTTGCCTTTTGCACGGCCCAACAACCATCTCGCCTCCGTGAGAACGTCAAATCCTACCTGTGTTTTCTTAAATTAAGCACAATGTTACATCACTATGTATTGCAAGTGTTGATTTGTAATTTATGATAGCTTATCTGTTGACATACTCCTTGGTTAGGGAAAGGAGATCTTAATATCATTTAAATAATTCCGTTTTACATATGCAGCAGAATAATTATCATGCTGTAGGAATGATTGATCTTGAAATGTTGCCTACCAGCAGTGGATGGTCCGCTTCATGAAGGTTCAGCTTTTCCATGTTTGCCACACTGCACTGCACTGCATTGTGTTCGTCTGTCGCTCAAAACGAAGTAGAAATATAATAAAAACGAAGTAATTTTGTTATTAGTGGCACGCGAGGTTATTTCCCATGTTGGACGTGGAGGTATACAATGAATATTTGGTTCAGTTCCTAATAAATTATTCTCAACAGCCGTGACGCGATGCAGGGTAAGTGCTTAAGCAAACAAGATGTAGGCTTGTCTTTGATATGCTGATCATAAATATTTATTTTCCATAAACCGTAAACCAGGTAATACACAATGGAATAACAATTTTATTAAGCTTCGCCACAGAAGTTATGACGTAAGTTAAAGTTGATTTTATTAAGTCACCATAGTCAGCTACCTTGCAATTTGGGAAACTTGACAGCATGCTTCTAAGACAGAATTAAATGTAGGCCTTGCCTACTTGCTGAATATCATTTCAACAACAAGAAGCTTTGAACAGCATTTAATCAGTTACTTTTTCATAGGTTAATAGACCACCACTGCGGTAAGACATTTAGCAGATCTTGAAGGTTAAACATTGCTAAGTACGAAGATCCGTCATTGGACACGATCCTGAGCCAGTTCCATTCACGTCGCATCTTCACAACCCATCTTCCTGAGATCTGTTTTAGTATTGTCATTCAATCTCTTCCAAAATTTGGCGTTCTAAGAGGTTTCCTCTCGGAAATTCTGTATACATCCCTTGTCTCGCCCATCCTATTCTCATGTCTAGTCCATCGCAACGTTCATTTTCTAAACCACAGTAGGTATAGAATGTGTAAACCACGAAGTTCCTCATTACGTAGTACACGGAACTGTTTACTTATTTGATCTGTATGAGGTTCAGATATTTTCCTGAATACTTTGTTTTCAGCCACTTGCAATGTATGTTCTCTCGGGTTAAGAGATGGCTCTCACATCAACAAAAAACAATGTAAAATGTCAGGTTTTCACAGCGGTGAGTATGAAGATTTATGTCTTCTGGGTTGTTGCGCCGTGTAGTCTGGTAGATGTTTCATCGCTCTGATGACGCAGGCAGTATGACTTCTGAAACGTTGTTAAACATCGACCAGACTACACAGCGCAATAACCCAGAAGACATAAATCTTCAACAAAAAACAAGTATCAAAATTTTTATTTGTATATTCTGGCCTTCAACTGTTTGGATAGGGCATGGTATAATAACACTGTTTTAACTGAATAACAACATAAATACAAAATCAGAATTTTCTGTTGTTCCAACTTCATCGTGGACTTATTTAAGTCGTTTTAATTGTAAGTATATTCGCGAACTAATTTATTGATTATATCCCTGACCAAGGAGTGTCGCTGGCGAACTTCGGAAATTTTCTTGTTGGCTGGTGACGTAAGCTATGCAGCTATACAGTACTGTGCTTACATGCAGCCTTTTCCTTCCCTTTCCTTCTCTCCTCTCCCCTAAGGCACGGCATCCGTGATTAGATGTGATATAAGATTTTGTTTAGGTAAGCAATCTGAACGGCCAGGAAGTTGTTTTGATGTGGAAAATGAACTTTCCAAGGGCAAAAACGCAATATATCTTTAAACTAACCTTGCCTTTGACGTGCATTCATCAAAGTTAGGCACGGTTCACATTAAGCGGTTTGCGCCGCGCGGTTCAATGATCGTGTTCAGACAGGGCGGTTGGCGACGCGGCAGCCAGATTCACCATGGACGTGGAGGAGGCTGCATGTCTCGTACTTTATTCATTTTACACGTGCTTCATCCGGTCGAACCGCGCGGGCAACTGAACGCCTGCATTTGAACTCATGGTAACACAACCGCGCGGCTAGGCGCACCGCGTTTATGGCCGCGCGGTTGAATGTGAACACTTAATGAGCCATCTATGGTAAAAACAACCGCGCGGCGCAAACCGCGTAATGTGAACCGTGCCTTACTGAAGAGTATCGCAGTTAATCTGTATAACGCTACCAAATTACTGGCATATCGGCTCAAACGGGCGAAAAAAGCTAATTCCATAGAAGAGAGCCCTTCTTGAGAGGCTGACAGGTATTTAGCTGGTCAAGAAATTCCTTACCTTTTACTGTTTGCACAAGAATCATTCACTGGACTGTATCATGAGCCAGATGAATTCAGTTT